TATAGTTTTCGTTAACCAATGTTAGTGATATGTCGTCACAATATTCTCTGGCTATTTTCCAAAGTATAATGAAAATACTTAGAATGATTGGGTGGATACACAATCATAGAAAATACCTGAAAGAGGAAAGAAGAAAGAGAAAGCAGGAGAGTTTAAAAAAGTTATGAATTGACAAGAGCTGAGATCTTTAAATCGTTGAAAATAATTCCAACATGAATTTCTGTTTTTCAATCGAATGATATTTAAGAAGCTGAAGTCAATAAGGTATGTTAAAGATGATGAAGGCATTTTAATATGTCCATCTCGTTTGACTGACAGGAAAGACCCATTTTATCCCAATGTTTCTTTTTTACTTTCCAAAGATCATAATAAGAAGACTATGGAGAACTGTAATGAATAAACAACTATCCTATGTCTATGCAGGATTCACATACTGATGACAAACCATTTAAAGAGATGTTTTTGGATCCTGAAAAGCAGACTATACTACAGTTAAAAAAGCTTTATATGCATGTGTCAGGTGAGTATAGCATGGAATTAAATTGAAACTACAAACTTACAACAACTGGCTGCTACTCTATCTACCAGAAAACAGAGTTAGAATATGCTTGTGGTTTAACGGATTGTGGCCGTTTATTTAGTTGGCCCATTTATTTTGAAGGATAAAGAAAAGCTTTGATTTTTTACTTTATTTCTCCCATTGTGCTATTTTCAGGGTGGTCCATTTTGAACTGATTTTGTCCCTTTTTTAAACTCAAGGAATTTTTACTTGGTCTTAGACGATTATTGCCCCATAGGCATCGATAATTTATTAGCGATAAAGAGAAGCAATTTTTGGTCTGAATCCAATAATCTCTGAGATCCGATTAAAATTGGACATATACCATTGAGAAGAAACCGCTAACGAACAAGATCGATTGGAAGTTCAAGCTCCACCCGCAGCCCCATGTGTGGGTGACTTTTGTGGGAACGACTTGTTCAAATGATTTAAGAGCTTTTGCATCGAGTCCCTAGGGCCAGTCATGTCTGAAATTTATGAAGAAACTGATGAGTGTGCCTGCGCGACTGCGAAGCAAACTGTGAATGTGCCCAAAACTGCCAGAGACCCACTCACTTATGGTGTCAGAAGACCTCAGATATCTCAATCCCTTTTGACAACGCTTGTTTTTTTAGGGTAGGTGAAATTCCAGTCCTTTTGGAGCTCCTGACTGGATCATCTTGATAAAGTTATTTTCAAAAGAGACCGAGAACATTTACTACAGAATTTATATGAGAGCTCTAGAAAGAATTTTTAGAAATGAAATCTCGCCTGCTAGGCAACATCCAATCTACAAAGTGCCGATTTTCGAACAGATAGAAGTCGGGGATATAGTTTCTATTTATCCTTATCGAATGGATGACAAACGCAAGGTGTTTGTGGCCCTAACAAAGTGATTGAAAACTATATTCCCCGGAAATGATTGGCAACATTACATTCGAGTAGGAAGTTTCCATGTCCAAAACCATGTCTGGAGAATTAGTTTGACCTAATCCAGAGATACTCCGCTCGAACTACATCATCTTTGAGACAAGATGAGGCAAAATGAAAACCTGAAATGCAGGGTGAAGACATTAGTCTCAAAATTACCCAAAGAATAATTCAGCTGCAGATTTTATCAAAAGGGAACAATTAAGACCTTGCCCGTGACTAGAAATGGATTCAAATAAATTTCCAATCTAGATTTCTAACCTGAAAAACCAATTACTTGAGTTATTTTTAAGAGTAGAAATTTTAAGAACTTAATTTTTTCTTTTGTGTTTTACTATTTAGCGCTTAATATTTGTGGGGACGTAATTTTTTTTATATTTTGTTTTGATTGATGAAGTACATGTGCATCCAATCCAAAGGTGGGAGTATTGTTAGAAACCCAGCCTCAGTTGTTAATCTTTAATTTCCATATTTTGTCACTGTAAGAAAAAAAAAAAGTGGCAAACCATCTGACGTTTTTGCCCTTGTAGTTCTACGGATTTTTTGAAAATACATATGATTCTTTTAGAAAATTTTTATATGTAAGTTTTTTATTTTAAGTTTATTAAGAGAAAGGAGAATGGGTAGTTCTGGCAAATCTCGAACCCCGGTCCACTGCTACAGCAGTCACGATAAATAACCACTATACCAGCTGGGTGGCTCAATGAGAATATTATCCAAGATGTATCACAGAGGATGACTGAATTCTGAATTACATTGTAAGTGTAATTACAATGTAAGTGAATTACATTGTAAGTGTAATTCAGTCAGGGAAGTTCCTCAAGACACTCAAGGAGAGAACATTGTGAATCAAATTTTTCTTCATTAATTTTGATGACTTGTTTTATATGCTGTGAAGAATTCATACAAGTTAATAAAATTAATATACATCATATAATTTAGTTAATGAAACAATTGTCCAGAAAATGTTGGTATTTAGTCCCCAAAGGATTTGTGTCCCGAGATATTACTTTCCATTTTGTTTGTTTTGGGGGCATTTCATCAGACTTCTATAAACATCATCGTTTCACTTCTCTCAACTGTTGCCCACAAATATGTCAGAGGTTCCTCCATTATATTTGAATAAATTAAGTAATGAAAATCTACATAACGTAATGTATATTTTACTTCCGCACTGTGATAAAACATGGTATCCTAAGAGCCACCCAATTTTGAATGAACGTAATCCTCAATTGTGAATAATGGACTCTGAATCTGTTTTATAATATCGATTTCATATTTTGTAACACTTTAAACCGAATTTTTTGGAATTAACATGCAATCGAACTGTGTATCCGAAATTTTAAAGATATGCTCATTTTTTAAAAAATTATTTTGCGACACTTGCTATTTGAAACTAAAATTTTTATATGGTTATAAGTGCAAAGAACATGATAGTTTAATAAATAAAGGTGGTCACAGACCAAAAACTTAAAAATGCCCCTTTGAAAGGTAATTTTCAAATCTGAAATTTTCAGATTTTTTTTTTTTTTTTTTTCTTTTTTTAAAATTAAGTTATTATCTGCATTTTTAGATAAATCACTTTTATTGGTATTCCTCAAATTAAAATGACAAATGTTTATAAGCAATTTATTTTATCTTCTGGCCTTTAAAAAAGGTTTAAAAATTAACACTAACTCAAAATAATTATGTAAATTTTTTGTTTGAACAAGTCTTATCTCGCACAAAACTCAGTTTTTTAATTTTAAAGCCAAGGATAGATGAAAATAAAATAAAATTTAGCATTTTAAAAAAAAAAACAATTGTGAAGTCCCTGTAGTTTTCTGTATTTCCTAAAATGGTTTTAAAGGCCCTCTTTTAAAATGTAAAAAAATGACTTAAATAAATTAAAAAATAAAGAAAATATATGAAATCATATTTATAACAGTAATGCTGCAGCCAAAGATGGCAATTCAGTGTATTTCCACTTATTAATTTATGAAATGAACTCTGAATGTTTTCAAGGTTTCTCATTAGTTATGTACTATCAAGGATTTCGAATTATAATGCAATTTTACTTTATTTATTTGTAGCATTTTCTTAAATGTGACTACTTAAGATGAACAACAATGTTTTTTCCCCTCATTACCCTTCCAATCTCACAATTATGCCCAAATTTTCTTTACAAACAACGGTTTCTTTCTTCTTTTTTTTCTTTCAAACCTTTCACTGCATGAAGGCATCAAGTACAATTAATCCTTCTCACCGTGCTGATATGAGAAGACTTCTGTTGACTTAAAAAAAAATGAGTAGTCTTGTGGAATGGACATACGAAATGTTAAAATCCTCCTCATGCCAATTTTTTGGGAGAGGTTGTGGTAGGGTAGTAGGAGATTCTCAGATTTTGTCTTTAGGGATGCTTTTCATGAGCTTCAGTGGATAATTCTTCTGTGTTCGGTCATATTTGAATACTGTACCCCAATTCAATAGATTGAAGAGATTAATTTTACTAAATTTTCTTGTGAAATTTTCCCTCAAAATTTGATGCATAGTGTACTTGCTTCTTTTGGAAACTCTAAATTACAAACTACATATTTTTGTAAACTATTGCTTCAGTCTTGAAAAGTTTATGTTTTGGTGACTGTATAAATTAGAATCACTTCATCAAACAGCGTCAAAGTTTGCTTCCCCTGCCTAATGACTTTTCAGGCAATCATTAAACTGCACTGATTATTCTTCAATATTGCAAAAGACATCGTGCAGCAGATCAGTGTTTAATGTGCGCATTTATTCAATTAGTTTCTAAAGATATTAATTTTTGTATTCTGCACTGATACTAAAAAATATAATGCCAATCTGGCAATTTTTGAAGAATAAAGTGTTGCTTCAAGATCCAGCTAATAATTTCAAGAATGAGTAAGATTTCAGACTTATAGAAATTGTTTTCCTCTACCCTTGTGTGGGAATTAAAAAAAAAAAAAAAACTCCTGCCGCAGCTGGGGGCAACTGTAGCATTATGCTTTCTCATTGAGAATTAGTTTTTAAAACAAAAAAACTGCCCTTGAACAGTGCTTTTATATAATCCTCAAAATAAATCCCACCAGTTTCAGTATGTTAAAGTTATGACAGTATGTTAAAGTTATGAAAATTTGGATAAAAAATCTAAATTCTGTTCATTGTTCAGCACTTTGTGATGATACCTTTGGTGACTGTTTAGCTATAATTAAGACTGGACATTGACTTCAGCTATTCAATATATTTTTTGCAAGTACTGGAGCTATTTATACAAGACACCCAGATAGAAATGTACATGTGTATAAAATATGCATAGTATATACATAATTGTATGGATTAATATTAACTTTTTAAGTAAATTATCACACATGATCAATGTGTGACTGATTTAGAAATTCTATATCTAAACAAAACAGAATAATTCATATAATTGAAATAATCAAACACTAAGATGATCAATCAAAGATTGTAGCAATATTTATAATTTGACATAAAAAGTAATTTCAGTAACCATAAACCTTTCATTTTTGTAATATTAACGACCTTTTGATGAACAATTTTATCAATACAGAATTATGATTGATCATAAGGTTTCTTCAATATTTCACAGAGTTTCCTAACTTCACTATAATCACCAGACTCTGCTTTTTCAATAGCATTTTGAGCAATATAGTTGCGTAGAATGAACCTGAAGTGACAGTAAAGGCTTTTAAAACATTAACACATTTAATATACCAAAAGACTAAAAATCAATCATATATAATCATATAAAACCCTTATCAAATCATAACTCATTCAAGTTAAAAAGGTGCTGCATCCATTAGAATTTTTCTAAGCATTCCAGTTATTTTGGGGGCAAGTTTTTTACAAAATACCAGACATTATGCAATACTTATACATAAATTTTACATATTCAACTTTTAGTTCCAGCTTTTCTGAATCAGTATCAAGATTGAAAAATTTTATTACGCTCAAGGGTGAAAAAGCACACATAATGTCTTACGAAAAAGACATGAATAGTGAAGAACATGTAGCCTTCTTAAGTATTTGTTGCTCATAAAACTAAGAAGAGAAACATGGAAGTATATTAAATTCAATGGTGTTTTTAGAATTATGAGATTCACTATCTAAGAGTACCTACAAAGAATAGGATCGACAACACCATAAGTGAACAGTTCTTATTATGCATTGTGCCACTAACCTTGAAGTAAAAGCACTCATAATTGGTGCCAATCTATGTGTAATCCAGTTTGCAGTGTCTCACCATTTTTTAGATGGGTGACTACAAAATGTAAAGAATGTATATGGAATTTTATTTTAACTGAGGAAATTGGAATCTGAGGAGACATTTGTTTTGGCTTTAGGGACACTGTTTAAAAAAAATCCTGTGTTTTGGAGAGTCCACAAGTGTACAAATGATTTTCCAGATTAAAAATAGTAACTTGTGAAATTGAAACTGCTATGATTTTGACATTCATTGATGAGCAAAAATGAGGAAAACATTAAGAATGTACTACTGAAATACTAATGAAAGTTTCTAAAGAAGAAGATCATTGAAAGACCATTCACTAAAATATTTCTGAATAATAATAATCCACTCTCACATTCTTCTTCTTCAGAAAGAACAATACAGTGGCATATCTTATTCACATCAAATTTCCTTGCTCAGCAGGACATTTTTTATATTTGAGTACTCAAACGGCAATTCGAGGAAATTAAATAAACAAAACAAAATATATATATATATATATATATTTAAGAAAAAATACAGGCATTTCAGTGACGAAGTGCAAGAAAATATGTCAGTTCTCTTGACTAATATTCCTTGTCAAGAATGTCAGAACTACTTCTGTGTTTTCAGCTGTGGGCAAAATATTGGGCATAATGAACGTGTAAAAAATTTTTTGCCCGCCAAACATTTCAAACAAAAAACTGTAAAATTAATTTAAAAATTGGCTTATTTCCCCTTGGTGCTTTTTTTCTATTTCCGTCCGTTTCTTTCTTCGTTTTTCTTTTCTCCTTTTCTTCTTCTTCTTTCCTAGAACATGGTGGAATCTACGTAACAAGTTTGCCATTTCCTATTAATTTCATTCAAACATAGTAATAGTCCAACACCACAATGCATTTTGCATTAAAAAACCCACCAAAGTGCTCTCAAAGGGCATAGCTTAAAAATTTGGAATTTGGAAAGTCAAAACTGGCATGACTAGAGAAGATTTTAGAAAGAGAAAGAATTCATTTTATGCAGCTAAAAGTGAATTTCAAGTTACTAAAACGGGAGCAAAGAAACAATGGGGAGAAAGAATTTAATGGCCGTAGATCAGAAACAACAGTCGAAGTGCAAATTAAATAATGGTATATTTAATTAAGCGCTTGAAGGCTACCTGCCTAAGGAGAGAGATGACTTTGTGAAATATTATTATATATCTAAGGGAAATTGGCTCTTGTATATATTACGCATGGAGAAAACAATGAAACTGCCCATGCAGCCAGCCATTTGCCCCAGGATTCAAACCCTGGAAAGAACTACCAGTGTTTAGTGAATTTACCTTCTGGCCACTGATCCACAATTAAATAAGTGATAAAACTAAATTTAAGAACTAAATTTTGGCAAAGTTACGGAGGAAGAAGATAGCAAGTTTAAAGCTGAAAGTCTTTGCACGAACATGGCCCTTTGTTTTAGGAACTTCTAAAAAGCAAAATATGGCCTTATTATTTAACAGGAAAAAGCCAGAATTAAATTACAGAAGTTATGTAAACAAAATTATTTAAAAATTAGGCATAACCTCCCAATTTTCATCCTGAATAAAACCATCCTCAGGAAATTAGTTTTCCCCCTCCAATGGTTTCAAATCATCCAACTTTTTTTTTTTTGTAACCATAAATAAAAGTTTAATTTTTAGCACTTGCCCTGCCTTTTTTTAAAGAGAGGTTTAATTGTAATGTCTTGGACTTTTTTAATTTATCTAATAAAGAATTCATAAATTAACAGGTTGATCTCCTTATTGAATATCAACTTTATATTTTTTTTTTAAAAATTTCTAAACTAGTTTGATTTTATAATAGTGTTATACAATAACTTTTTCCAAAACATTAGATTCCTAGTGAATTAATTAAAGAGTTTTAAAATTGTAGCCTCTTCTTTTATCATAAAGTTTAATATTTTTTAAATCAAAAATATGTAAATCTAAACAGCGAATTTCTTTTTGAATAGTATTAGTTTTTTTTAAGGATTAACAATTTGGGTAAATATCATGTTCTTTTATTTTCCAGAAGTTATTAATTGCAATGATATCATCAATATATCTAAATATATTAGAGAAGAAAATTTTATCACCTTGCTTAATAGATTTTTTGGAAGTTATAACAGTCCTTATATTGTATGTAACTATTAAAAGTAATTGTCTGTTGAAGTTCAGTTTCAATAAGAGAACTATAAAATTTAATTTTATATTGCCAACCTAAAAATCTGAGTCGCTTTAAAACAATAATCTGCTTTAGTGATGGTAAAGAAATTTTCCATTCTAAAACACTGGTAGTATGTAGATTGATTTTAGAGCTAATAGAAACAATAAATTCATAAAAAATTATTCTCAGTGGTATACAGGCATTTATTTACATTAACTTTATAGACTGGCTTAAATTTATCACCAAAATTCTTAAGTTTCTTTAAATTAAGGTCTTTAAGTAATATTCAAATCTCCTGTAATAATATGTCCATAGTTTTAATTTTATAAAAGCAACATATTTTAGTTGTTCACAGAAACAGTTGGCTTTAGGATACAAACTGAAGTGGCTGATAAGCATTTTGATTAAAGTTTTTTTTTTTTTTTGTACTGGAAGCAGAAAACTGCACTGTAATTAATTGAAGGCAGAGAAAAAAAAATGTTGATTTTCTCTGAAGATATTGCTGAAACTGATTCTATTATATAAAACTGCAAATGGGAGATATTTTTATTTGGCAGTAGAAAATTTTTATTGAGACAACAAATATTTTTTACTTCTTTTCAAATTTATGATTATAAAAATCTATAATCAAGCCTTAAACAATTTGAAATCTTTTATAATTATTAATGAAGAATTTGTGAGCTTGAATCAATAATTTATTACTAAGAGTTTGGAGTAATTTAAAAATATTTTTGGTAAACTTCATTATATTAAACAATTTTTTTTCAATATTTGTTTAGTACACTGTTTATAGTCCAAATTGAATTTAGAGCGTTCTTATTTGCCTCCCTCTTTTATCCCTCTTTGCAAGTTTTGTTCAAATGGGCTGTAAATGACAGATTTATTTGTATCTGTATAACTTTGAACTTTGGTGTTGAACCAATATGGGTAAAGGTTTTTAAATTGCAACATATAAAGCAAGTCTTAAAAAAAGTCTTTCTTTAGGGTTAGAAACAATATCTAATACTGAGATTTTAATATCATTAAAAATCATGAATTTTGAAAATTTTTCTTGTTTATGCTTATATAATTTTGGTACAAAAATTTTTCTCATTTTTTAATGAAAATGTTGTGAAATTTTTTTTTAAACAATGAAGATCGTGATTATTATTCCTAATATGAGAGGGAGATTTTTGTTTGGCCTATATAGCTAACATAGGTATTTCCTGTGATTTGGTAAATACAACATTCTTCAAAGAAATTATTGTTTGTTGGTATTTTTAATTTGAAATTATTATTATGCAAAATTTACTATTATGAAAAGCAGATCTTACTTCAACATACAGCATAAAAATAAATATCATTTAAAGAAAGGTGAATTAAAAGAGAATGATAATATTACCTTGGATTATTGTTTTTCATAACATCTAGTCTCTCATAATTGAAAACAGAAAAATCAGTATCACAAGCTTCTACTTCTTTGATTAGTCTTGTCTTATACTTTTCCAACCAAGCAGACCACAAATCTCTATCACGTTCATTCTTACTTTCTTGGGTCATTTCCTAATTAAATAAATTCCTAACTAAACAAATAATTTCTTAACTAACAAATATTAACTACAATATATAATGCAAATATACAATGAACTCACATACAGCAAGTACATTAACTACAGTCACAAGCTATATTAGAGATCAAACCAGTTTTACAATCAGAAATATAGCAGCATTTTAAAAGCTAAAAAAATGGGAAAATTTCGATAAAATAAACAGTTTAAAACATACACTGAGACTAGGATTCAACCTTTTTCAAGTAGCAAACTAGGAAGCTTTTTAACATACTAACACTTTTATAAATCCTGAAATGTTAATTTATGTATGGATAATCGCATATGTATGCTGCAGATATGTGTTGTGTATGACGGTGTTGCCACCGAAAGGCACAAATATGTGCTCCAGACAGGTGAGATTGTGTGTTGTCTTCACAGCAGAAGAAAGAAGTCATGCATCAGAAGATTGGGTGCTGTGCTGCATATGTATTTTTCCATGTAGAATGTGTTTATGTACCAATAAGAGCATTCCTCATCCACTGCACTTTATATAATTTTTTTTTTTTTTTTTTTTTTATATTTTGCTTCTGAATTTTCAACATACAACCCTCTTTTATTTTCTTTATTTTTTATTTTCATTTTTCAATTTCTTATTATATTCCCAAAAGCATATGTTTCTAAAACATAATCAAAAGTTTGCTTCTGATCGTAAATTTGAATTCTTCCTTTGCATCTGTGCACTGCTGAAAAGAAAATGAAGCATCTGTATTTAATTCCTAATAACTGAGGTACTTGTGGTCATGAAGTCGTGTTTTTTAAGGCAGGGAATACTGACATGGATGTAGTTGTCAAAAATATAAATGGCAATATGAGCCCACTAGAGCGTGAGATGACAGTCTCAGCCATTAGCCACCACTTACCAATGCATCAACTCATAATCAATTAGCTGCTGACGGATATACTGCCCCCTGTATCCAAGTAGATATGATTGACAGAGATGTAGACATGTAGACAGAGGCAATTTTTAAATGTAAGCAGTTAGTTATAAATACTTAAATTAAAATTAGGTAGTTAATAATCCTAGTCCCTCATTTTATGATTTATGAACACTATTAAATTTTATTTTTTACTAATATTTGTTTTAAAAAAAAAAAGCGCTTTTAAAAATCGCAATCTAATAAAATTTCGCCAGTTTAAAAATACACGTCATTTATGACAATTGTTCTTAAACAATATTAAGGATAATTACAACGTTTAAAACTACAAAAATTTTAAATGCTTTGTAAGTAAATCAACACTCACACAAAATATTTAGACATTTTTTTTAAGTTGAAGCCTTCCCAGATATTTTGGGCTATTTATTTCAACTTCCCTTTCTCTTTTAAAAAGCATCTATCCTTTTTTTCCTAACAAATTCAGAAATTTTGTTCTAATATGCAAACCATGGTTCCTTCACTAGTTTCGTTTGTGCATATCTTATTACCTTAACTAACGATTGCCAAACTTTCTCCACAATCCACTAATGAGGGTTTACTTCAACAAGAATATATACCTGGTAGAGAGCAATATTCTGCAACCCTCCAAAACCGGTTTCCAAATTAGGGTTTCACGGGGTGTGACTGCTGGGTCGAATTTCCGAAGTCCGGAAATACTTTAAACATTTATTTCTAGGGAACCGAAAGACACCTACTCTGCTTGGTTCCTAAAATTTTTAAGAAAAATGGTTATCTGCTGGCAGTGCCTATGGATGAAAAGAAAGTTTTGTAAAAGGAGGAACCGCTGTAACCTTCAATAGCTAAAGTGTTAAAACTCCTACTCTTGCATGATTTTTTATTATTTTTATTTCCATTATTTTTTTTGTCATTTTATAAAAAACTATTTTCCCTGTTGAATTGGTTGAAAGTTTTTTTAGCCATACTGTATAAAACAAAAAAATTGCCGCCTGTATTTGACATTTTTTTCAGCATGTAAAATTAATAAATCACAATTGTATTAAATACCTGTGACAAAAACTATTTAACTGGAAAATTCACCTTTTTTACAAATAATTTGAAATTTTTATGTTCTTTTTTTTTTTTTTTTTTTTTTTTCCTTTTGTTTCCGCGTACCTCCATTGAAATAGAAAGTTTGCGCCAATTGTGGGGCCTACCTTTTTTTTTTTCCCAAGGCCTTACGTGTTTTGGATTTTTTCGTAAATAAACAAGTGAACTGCCCTGGCCGATAAAAAAAGAAAATGCTATTTAATTATAAATTATTGCGAATAAGATTGAAACATATGTTTCTTTGATAAAAAAAAGAGCTAAAAATCTCGATTCATTGCCAATATTGAACATAAAACATTTACACAACATAATTTTAAAAATAGATTACATTTTATAAAGCTCACTTGCTTTTTTAAAATAAAATCATTTATTTTTTCCTATAAAATAATTTTTAAAGAATAAAAATAAATCTACTGGGCTATAATTCTGTCTCATATCTACTATGCTGGTCCGGAATTTATCGTCACTGAAAAAATATATGAGTGAAATTTTACAATATTTTTAAATAGTAATTATTTTTTAAAAGCGATAATTTTTTTTAACTCAATAATCAGTTTGTTGTTTTTGTTTAAAATCCCTAATGATAAATATTTGAGTTTGAAGTTTTGTTATTTGTTTGGATACATATTCATATAAAATATTTCTTTATAAGTTAATAGATGATTAAACAACCCCCATGACATACCTATGAGCATGGGAATCAGTAATTAAGATTGCATTTATTTATTTTTTGTTCCAGTATATAATCCTCAAGAAAAAGAGGTGGTGCGATTTAGAAGTTTTAACCTACATGCGTGACATAAATTGACTTTTTTAGTTCCATTTTTATGAAGAAAAAAAAAAAAAAAAAAAAAAAAAAAAAAAAGAATTGTTGATGGCAAAATCAAAGTAACTTTTTGATCAATATTGCCTTAAAAAAGCCAGAATTTGCCCCCATTCTACCATCATCAACAATCTAATTTGAAAGGAATCAAATTTTCTTTTATATTCGTTCGCACTTGAAAATGACACTTGACCCTCTGTTTTCCCAGAAGGGCCCCCTTTAGCCCTGTAAGTTGAATGTTATTACAAATTCTGTTTTTTGAATTATGTTGCCTATATTGTAAAAGAATTTCAAAGAGAACTTTAAAAAGGGGGTTTCAAAAGGACCCTTTGGGTTTCCATTTCCCAAAACAGAATTACAAATAAAATTCTCGATGTAATAAAAAAGTTTTTTAAGGGGGGGGGGAATGGCCCCAGCTCCCATATAAGGACAATCAAATTAATTACTTATTGTTTGAGACTCTTTAGTTGTAGGTATATTTTTTACATTTTCCTTCCAATGAAAAAAATCACTACACTTTTAAAATTTCAAAATGATAATTTTTTTACTCAAGCAATGTACTTAAGATTCTAATGATTCTGAAAAATTACCATTCCTTTTCTGCAGTATACCTGTATGACTTTGGCATACATATATGTGTGTTAATTTAATACTTTAGTTAGAATTAAGATTTTTTTTTTCATTTATGTATAAAAAATAAAGTTTCCATCGTCAATTTTTTTATATTTTATTTAGATTTTTTCTTTTCCCACATTAACAGTTAACAATTCATTTTTAAAATTTATTAAAAATTAAAGTTCCCATCTCAATTTTTTATTCTTTAGTATTAGAAGATTTTCCTTCCCCTAAAGTTATTTTAACAAAACCTAAACATCTTAAACAACGGTGGCAAAAATTTTAAAGCAATTATTAAAATATAGATAAAATATTCAGGAAAAAACGCATTTAGTTTATATCTAAAAATAATTTGTAAAAAAGCAAATAATTCCAATTTGAAGGAAATAAAAAAAAAAAACCTTCCCATATCAAAAAAGCCCGTGCCAAACCAGCGATTACATCCCTAAAAGCTAATCACTCACTTTGTTCCCCCAAGAAGCACAAGACCAATAAATCAACGTGGGTGTATGTTAGGGTCCCGCTAGCTGACAAATTCCCAGCGGAATGAGACGTCTACCTGTTATATGAAGTCATTGCTTACTTGATCTGGTGAAAATTAAATAGTCCCCCCCAACAGATGTGAAACAAATTATCCCTATGCCTGAAAGCAACTCAACGACAGAAAAAGGTCTAAATGAGAAGCATTTTGTTTAAAAAGAACTTAGAGCATAAAGTCAATTATAGCTCGTGGTGATGTAATTAAGAAGAGTCATACGCAAACTAAAAATGTCGACTGGTGGTCAAACACTGTACAATTTAATTTTAATTTAAGCTGACTCAGTAACTCTATCATCATAGCAAAAATTCAAAATGGTTGGCACGATAATTGCAAAGACGATAATTACAATTTACAAATTATCAGAGCTGACAGAAACTATGCAGTGAAGCCAGTTGGAGTCCAAAAGCACAACACCTGTCAATATGCTCCAAAAAATTTCAGTTAACAACTGTCTAAGTGATTAGGCTCAAAATTATAAACAACTGGGGTAATTTTAATAATAAATACTGGCATATCTGAAGAATATTTTTTCCTTTCTCTTAAATTGGTATTCCCAATTTTTTCTTTCGTTTTCCTTTTTCAACTGCTTCCTCAGTGCAACTGCTTTTTCCTCAGTCCCCCTCACTGCTTTCCTCAGGTGGGAAAAATGCCTAGCACCAAACCCTGTGTAATGATGCACAGAGCAAAAAAAAACAAGTGAATGAAATTCTTCTTTAATTGACAGTTTTTAAAATTTTTTTAATTAATAAAAATATTCTTTATAATACGCCTGTCCATTGATGAGATAGAAGCCTTTTTTGGATATTTTTTTCTATGCTTGTGTTTTTAGTGAAAAGTAGGGAAATAAAGGGAAGATAAACATGTTTAAGAAAAAGATTTCTAGTAAAAATATTCAAAGTAAAATATTCAATAATTATGCTTTTCATTGTTTTCTTTACCAGATGTCTCCAAAGTACGAAATTCCAATTCCAAACTTTCTGTAAATACATCCCCTTATAATACAACCGTGGTTTTAGTGACCATGGAGAACATTTTTTCATTTTTATTACATTTTTTCCCCCTGAATTTTTCTAAAACGTTGGGTGCTATCTAATCAAAAAAGAAATTATGTCTAAAGGGGCAAAGTGGAAGTTTTTCCAACTGGAAAAACGAAAAAGATGAAGCACTACAAGTTTTTTTTAAGAAAATTAAATTAAAACCTGGATGAAATGTAATGGTTTCCAGAACAGGCACAAAAAAAAACCCATATTTTAAAAAAACCTTCAGAGGAAAAAAATTAGAAGCAAATGATTAATATTTAAAAAAATTTCATAGTGTTGTAACAAAGAAGTTTACAAAAGATATGTTAAGAAGAAGAATTCGTTGTGGTCATTTTAGGAGTAGTAAAATGCAAAGAAAAGAAAAAAAAAGATCAAGCAAGAGAAATATTATATTGGCAGAATGTCAAAAAGAAATTGAAGATTGGTTAAAAAAAAAGTGAAAAAAATTTTTTTGTCAAACTGTTTTTAAATTACAAAAAGCTATACTTAACGAAACAATGATATCCTAAAGAAGTCACCCTAATGGTCCTAGGAAAGTATTGGGAACAGATCACTTTTTAACTTTCAAGGAAGGAAATTATCTAATAGTTTAACCAGATTATTTTAAAAAGGCAATATGGTGGCAAATGGAACACTTGAAAGATTTTGTCAAGTGTAGCAGAGATAACAAGCATTGAATCCAAAGCATTTGAAATCACATTTTTGCGAAGGCCATGGTTATTCTGAAAATCGTAATATTCGGATAATGGTCACACAATATAAGTAGCAGGAAATTTAAAAAGAATTTTACAAGAAGTGGAATTTTAAAAACCCAAGAACTTCAAATCCAAAATAAACTCACAACCTTAATGGACCCATCAACTTTTGACAGTCCAGAAGACATATCAAACTGGTCCCAGTGAATGTTAGAAAAAGCGTGGTTGACAACAAGGATCATTTATTTAGTATACTTTACTGAATTCATAAATACTCTCCCTTTTCAGAATGAAATTAAGGGCACCTTCGAGAAATTGATAGAGAAGTAAAAGAAAATGGATTTGATGTCTATAAAAACTAATTCGTTTCAAAAAAAGCCTAAAAACCATATGAAGACGCAAAATAACATTCACTAAAGAGACAAAACCTTACAAAAAGTTAATATGAATGGAGTGCGAAGAACCATTAAAAACCACTGAGGTAGGAGATCATATGTACATAAAAGATAAGGTGAAACTAAATGAAAGAGGGAAGTTATAGAAGATTAGAAAGACCCAGGTTCATACAGGATTATAAAGAAACAATGAAGAATTGTAAGAAAGGAAACAGAGAACTTCTTTAAAAGGAATTAATCAGAAAGAGTTTGCAATACAAAACAAAACCTTTTAGAATGAAAGGTTATAGTTGGAACCAGGAGATACAGAGAAAATGCAGGAGCACCTTCAAATTTTAGAATGTGCCTGGTAATCCTTCAAACCTAATGAAGTGTTTGTGGTTACCAAAAATAAATGAAAGAGGTATAGTATCATCAATTTGTTTTCAAATGAACATAACCTACTTACTCGATCTGTAGGACTGTTAAGAAACCTTATTATTTAAAAAAGAATATGTTTAATTTACTAATATTATTTTTTGATAAAAAAGGGATGGTTTAATATTTAACTGTATCCTATTATTATATCATTAATCAATAAAACTGTAATATAGTATAGATTAGCAATGTAAGAATATATGTTTGTTTTACATCTGTATCATCATGAGCACAATGTCAGAACATATAAATAAAAAACAATGCATAAACCTATTATATAAACAAGCACAAATATTGCTCAAGAGACTTAAAAAGCTTTCTAAATTAGTGGAAATACAAAAATACATATTTTTGAATTTAGCAACAAAACCGCACACAAAATTTTGAATTTAAGTTTCACCTCAAATGGGCTTGCGTTGGCCAAAGAGAGAAGCCTTTCAAGAGATACACCTGATATACCAAGCTGTTCAATTATCTGTGGATCAGAATTTTGCAATCTCATTAAAGTTGAGAGATTTCTTTCTGGAAAAAGATATACACTTTTAAAGTTAATTTTAAAAATTACAAAATTTTAAAAAATATTTTCATTACTAGATATCTTATTACTAGATTTCAAAAATATCTTCATTATCAAAGATGCCTAAATGGGGTCCCAGTGCACATGTTTACTTCTGAGCCTGCAGTGGGCTTTAACAAAAATTTACAAATGCCTAGAACATGTTTTCTCTAAAATGCATACAATTTTAAAAAAACAAAAACCAATCTTAAATAAATATTAAATCTGAAAAATCTGTTCCCCTTATAACTTAAGTAACAGCAATATCATTGACACTGTCTCTGATAGACTTTTTTTTCTTTTCATGAGTGCCCTTATTTTCATTCAACTTGTATGACACATTCAAACACGAAATGGCAGGGTTAAAATTTAAGGAACTACAGGTTTTACACTAGGTATGATCTTTTTCCCTGAATATTCTAATAGCATTTTGAAATTATTTGTGTAATTTAACCTATTAAAGTTGAATTAATTATACTTAAGTGCATTACCAAGCAAATTGCCTTATAAAAATCATTTGAAATTACTAGCATATGAAATTTGAAATACTTACTAGAGGAGTAACTAATAATGTGATTTAATTAACTATAAACGACAAATAAGAGAATAATAACAATTATTTATGCTCCCCAAGATGTTATGTATAGTAAATATTTAAGATATATTAAGGATGCATCCCTAAATAATTTGCTATATATAACATCTTCAGCAGTCTATGGCCCCAAGACATAATTTGAATTGATATTTCAGGGTACAAAAGCTAGATGCAATTGTTATCTATGAGGTGGGTTCAAAAAGAAACTGAATTATATCTTTTTATATTGCCTTATTGTGTAAGACATTTTTAATCACTATCACTCTCAACCTCAAAGGTAGGTCCCCTCTATTGGCAATCACAAACAAAAAAACAAAACACAAAACCAAAACCCTTTACAACAATCATTCCCTTCCATTTTTGGAAAGCCTCCTAGAATACATGGTGCACAGGTCTCTTGTCTCATTGTCCTAAATCTCCTCTATGGTTTGGAAACAACATCCTTTCAATGAAGTTTTCAATTTGGGAACAGGGAAAGGTCTGCAGGGGCTAGATACAGAAAATATGGTGCACGGGACACAACTGGAGTGTGATATTTTGCTAGCATAGTTTTCCGACAAGACTGACAACCATGAGCGGGCACATTTGTCCCCTCAAATGGCAACTAGAAATTTCCTGGTGACAACTTCCCCTTGTACCACCCTGACCCATGTTGGTAATAAAAATACCAGTGGTTCCATTTTAACAAAACTTGCAGAGATTAAAGACCACATCGAACAGACGCAAGACAAGAAAAAAATATATTATGGTCGTCAACGTCAAATGGTTTTTTATGAACTAGGGGTGAATTAAGTATGGGTGATGGTTACAAAAAACAACAACAATCCTTATTGCAGACACAAGAAGTAGAAAGTGTCAAAAATTCATTAAATAGGTAGTCAAAATAAAAATTCATTAAATCTGATATTGCCTGATCCGCTAAGCCAGATGAAGGTCCTTGGGCTTATCACACACAGCCTCAGCCCTATCACTTATGAACTACCTGTTTCAAGAAATAGTGGGACTGACCTCTTTGGAGATGAGGTAGAACCAAAGAGACCAACATTCTGGCTCCTTTGTTCGAGAGCAAATGTATGAGCCAGAGTGAGAGTCTGTACCCCACGGCTAAATGAGCGCCACCTAGTGGCCTGCCGGGAAACATACGGGTCAACAAAAGACTATAAGAAGCCGTCATTCACTTATGCCACTGGAACCAAGACACTAAACTAAGCATGGTTGTTCCCCCAAGACTTACTTTGTAACTTTTTAAATGTGTAATTATAAATGCGAATGCCCTTAATTGTAATTTTTATCTTAATTTGTGTTTTTGGTTAATTAAAAACTATTTAAAAAAGGCAAAGTGGAGTCTTTTGTTTTATGGGGTAGTTTTGGTTATAAATTCTAATTACAAGGTACAAAATTCTAATTAGAATTTACTTTGTTCCTGCTTGGACCATGATCTTTTTCAATTTATAGTATTATAGATGATCCATTTTTCATCCTCAATGATGATTCATTTTAAAAAAAGAGTGACTGCATTACATTTGAAATGTGTATCAAAGATATTGATTCATTGTGTAATTTCTTTTAATTCCTTCAGAACCCCAATATCAAGCTTCTTAATGAGTCCAAAACATCTCATGCGATTTTCAATTGTTGCTTGTGATATAATTAACTTTTTTGAAATCTTCAGCACAGCTATACAACATTTCAATTTAATAATTAATGGCTAAATTTTTTAACAATCATCACTTTTCAAGAAAGGTGCAGAATGTTGGCCAACCTTCAAGTGATGATGTGGCCTCCAAGTGAAAAATTTCCAAAAAGGGAAAGGAAATTTTTTTTTAAACTTATTCCGAACCAGTGCCATTCAGGTTAGCACAATCAACATTTATAAGCTCACCATAACATATCTCTTGTGGAGCCTCAACCAAATTTTCCGAAAAAGCCTTTAACAAAAATGTAAAATATGTCGAAAATGTTTATTTTTGCACCACATGTTAAAGTTGACCACAAACTTACTAAGTTATATATAAAAATACACATACTTTGTTTCTATAGCAACCTAAAACTGTCAGCTGCCAAATCTCAAAAGAAAAAAAAATAAGACTGACAGATGAATAGCAAAATGAACATAAAGCTATCTACTTGTGCAAACCGAAATTACTTTTTTGCCAACCCAATATATGCCAGCAATAATTTCGGTAACATATATGGGTATAGTATATGTACACACTTTTTTTATAACTGCTGTGAGGTCAGCTTTCACATCTATGAGTTTGGATGAATTTTAGTTCAAAAAGTATAAAATTATAATATTTATTCAGAAGGCATGAAAAAATCAAAATTGAATTAATTATCATGAAATTGAATCTACATCATCATCAACACTACTGCAACAAAACCAAACGTTTTTGCAGGTAATAAGCAAATAATTCTGTTTTCAGAATTTGAAAACGTATTAACACAGCTATACAGGCCCTGAAAAACTATAAACACAATTAATTTTATTTTAATTTTCATTTAGATCATTTACACTGAATCTTAACTATAGTGATCCTTTTCATAGTAAAACAACAAATTTGACAGAAAAATAATTCAATGAATATCACATCACTAAATAAATAAGAATATTAACACAGTTTTCATTAGATTTTTTGGGGCAATACTATTAAATTGCTTTGCATTTTATTGCAGAAACTATAAAACTTCTATTTTTAAATAATTTAAACAACTATATTAAATTTATCTCCTTTAACTGCCTGATAGGTGCATTATTGTTAATTTCATCCTCCCCCCTGTTTCTCCCATTGTCTTGGACAGCCAACCCTGATGCAAGGTTATATAGTTGGTTAACTGTATCATGGTCCCAGATTGATTATATATATTTAGTTTAAACATTTCTTTACGGTTACAATAGGCGTATTAACTTAAAACTTTTCTATTTATGATGATAACACACAACAGTATCATAAAGAAAATTACAATATCAATATAGTTGAATGCTGTTTTAAACTTAATTTTCTTTCTTTTCTTTTTCCTACTCTCCCCATTATAATTAATTAATGATAATTTAATTTCAAGGAAAGCTTTTCTAATTTGGCAGGTAGTTTATAACTAAATTTTATGAGAAAGGTTAAAGCAGTAATGAAGTTGTCCATCTCTTGAACAGATGATGATCATGATAAACTACACAGAAGCTAAAATCAAATCCTTGAAAGAAATACTTAAGACCTCTGTTTTTTTAAAAAAATAAAACCAAACACACAAAACCAATGAGACCATAAAATATGCTAGATAACTTGATACTAAAGTATACATGGAAGATTATTTTGAGAAAAGAGTTTTCCCCCTCCTTTTCTTCTGTTTAGTTTTCTACCTCTCTCGTCGAATTTGGGAACATATAATTATGGCCAAGCCTCGAGATTTGGGAAAAATTTTCCCAGTATCACAAGGCTTGAGGATAACAGATAGCAATACTTTTTTTATTGACCCTCACAGATCAATAATCTTTTGTAGATGAACAAATCATTAGCTCATGTTTTGTTGTAGACTAATAATCTATATAACCATCATAAAAATGCTTTTAAGAAATATTAAATATTGTGACAAATATACTAAATACCGAATGCTACTATAAGAACATGTAACCAGTCCATTGCTTATTATTGTAATTTATCACACAGGTTACACATTTCTAAAACTTGCTATTATTGCTTAATATAAGTTAAAAGAAAAGAAACTACTATCAGCATCTAAATATGGAAATTTATTTGTTGCAATATAAGAAACTCATCTAAAAAATTATCTCAATCTTCTTAACGATAGAATTCAAACTTAAAATATAACGTATAAAATATGACAAATTTCTTTGCATGAAATCTTATTGATAGATTGTTACCATTACTTTTCTTATTATCAATAGCACTTTATTACCATATAAAATAATCACCTCATCACAAAAGAAATGCCTTTTAGATTTTACACAAAAATCAGCATTCAAGGAATTAAATACACAATTATGACATGTATACAGTGATATGAAATTTAAAACAAATAAAAGTCTCTTAAAAGAGATTTTGAGGGAAGTGGATTAATGTTTAATCCCTATTATATAAGAAAGAAAATGCAAGAATAATCTAAGAAACATGGGAAAACAGTTACACTAAAGTCTAAATTAACTTTACTAAATTTACACTAAATATTTGTGATTTCCTGTAATTATGTCAAGGAATAAAAATGATTAAAGATTAATTATGCTATTTCTAAAACCAAATATTTCAATAGCCATATAAATTCAACAATAAATAACTTCAACACCAAGCATACTTACAATGAATTTGTAGTATTTTTAAAGCTGTGCTTTAATACTTCTAAAGGATAACACTGTTTGAGAATTTTTTCCTTAGTTAAATCTATAGTTTCATCTATTTTCATAGAATTTGTAATATCAATATGTGAAAAACAACAGAAAGTATTTGTATAATCAGCACCTGTCTTCTCCATGGTACTTAACAGTTCTTGGATTAAATCTCTATAAGGAAAAAAAAAAAATCATAAAAGCATAAAATTATTACAATATATGTATTTAACAATAAAATATACATTAAGTTTTCCATAAAAAGATCATTATTATATTTCCAATATTTAGTTTTATTAAAAAATGCATTTACAGAACTTAACAAACATGTATCAACACATCACAATAATATTCTATGCATGATTATGAAATTGACAAAAGTAAAATTACTGTAATATAATTAACTTGTAACTAAGTCATTGAAGTACAGAAATTTCATACATATAAATTTTTAAAATTTTCATGAAAGCAGAAACAGAACTAATCAATTATAAATTATATAAAACATGTTAAATTGACTAATTCTGTTATATAAAAGTTGTTACTGTCTTTAGAATTCAGAAATAAACTGTTCAGCTACAATTTAAATGATAATTGTGCTACAGTTTTTTGTAAATTTTTAAATACATCTGTTAAAAATAGTAAAGTAAAAAATACTAGAATCAAATGAAATTTAATTATTTTACTATCAGATTTCCTTCCAACTGTGCTGCTTTGTCTGTGGCTTCTAATTGACAAGAATATGAACAAAAACAAAAGCATTTTAAAAACAGAAAAAAGTACTATTTCTATTTTTTTTTTTTAAAAGGTCATGAACTGCAACCCAAAAGTAACAAAAGCATTTTAAAAGTAACTATTCTATCTCTGGTCAGATGCAACCAACAACACAAATGTTGTACTGGGAAAAAAAAAAAAAATAAATATATACATGTATGCAAATACTAAATGCTTATTGCAAAATTTGCAGGTTAGCCTGTAACAGCTCACTAAGTTCATGCATATTGTGAAACTTCTAATATCTTTTTAAATCTCCAAAATATGTTCAACTAAAGGAGGTCTAAAGATCTGCCTAGCCAAAAAAGGATTTTGATACCACCTAAACATCCTTCAGGAAGATTTACTACATGTGAATAAGCAAATTTTGCTGAAAAATAGCCCCAAATGGATGTGACAGTATTATCAATACAACAAGTCACAGGATGGCATCGATGGATTGAACCATTAAAATTCTACAAAATGTCACTAAAGGTGATGGTCTTATAGGTAATGGTTCTTTAAATGATAAAAATTTGGTTTGATAGCTGAATGCCATTACACAATGATGTGAAAGAAGCAGCATTCAAGCATATAAATTCTCTACTCATCCAAAGCCACCATAATAATTATTTATCACTTAAAACAAAGCAGTTTCATTTTGTTCAATATAAAAGAATAAAAAAAGTCATTATCCAAATGTAACCTAAAATCTGTTTTATCTAATAGATAATGCTAACATGCATGGATATTTAAATCCAGAATACTAGGCAAATTATAGATTAAATAATAAAAATAATAAATTATCAATTCTTTACATACAACATTATAAAAACTACTAATGCTTAAATACTAAAAAAGTACTCTAAAGCTTCTTAATATGGACATTCCAATTTTCAAACAGCAAACTAAATAACATTTCAACCCTCTTGCCAAATTCAAAAGATCTCATTAGAAATTATGATGGCATTTATCTTTTCTTTAAATTCATTCAGTTTCCATCATCATTATTCATAAATATATATAATGTTGCATGCATGCAGGTTTGTAATAGATTGAATGCACACAGATCCGATGATAGGTTGATAAAATTTATTTCAAAAGACAATTCAGCGTATTGTAAATCTGGATAATTCGACCCACACCCTTCACATTATCACAGAATACAATCAACTAACTATAGTACAATCAATAGTACTTTAAACTATTAGGAATGTTAAACACAACACAATGTAAAGCACATCTTAGGAGGAAAGCTAAATCAGAGATACCTAAAAGTACGCTGAATACAACACTAGAACAGCCACTAAGAAATAAGAGAATGCTCTGCTGGACCTTATGCAGTTTCAACTGGTGCTGTGAGAAATAGAATGTCAGCTTTTTCGATTTCTTCTACTGCAATACTGAAAACATACGAGGCCAGTTACAGTTGCATATAAAATTACTTACAGTCATTCAATTACAATACATATATGGTGATAGAGGGGGTGGACTGGCGACAAAAATTAGTTGCGAAAACCGGTGCCAGATTGGAGATATCTCGCCAAGTTACCATGATAGCTATTTATTGAATGTTAAATAGACTTGCATCTGTATCTACTTTCAAGAAGTCGTTACTAGATTTTCATATTACATATATTATGAAAATACAGCAAGTTCACCTATAAATGCATAAACTCATCATCTATATAACAAAATGTGTAAATATTATATTTTTTTTTTTTTAAAGTTGAAAACACATACTTATCTTCTGCAAGTCAATTTACAATCCCACCGAAAAAAATAATAAAATGGCATTAAGCATAGCCAGAAAATGTATGATAACAATATACCAAAAAAAATTATACATTCAATTAAATATGCAGAAAGATCAGTATAATATAGTATAAACCAGGGATGAAATAACTAAGGCTGTACGAGTCTTCGTGTAGGAATTTAGATATTTTAGGAGCCACAATTATTTATATCTTTTTAATAGCAGAACAACTTTTAAACAGAAAAATAAATGTTCCAATAAATGAAAAAAATTTTCACTTTTAAATTTGTGTAGTAATTTTTAAGGGTAAATACATATTTCTTATCACATTTGCTCTGTATATAGGGAAAAGGCCCCACACAAGTAAACAGAAATAAATTTCCATTAACAATCATAAGAAAATACTAGATCAAATACATATTTTCTTTTGATCACAGTTATCAACTAATTTAAATATACAGTTATACCGAGAAAAGAACAATGGTCTGTACAATAGTGGAACACATTCCAATCAAGAGAATAATATGGCAGCATACTGAAAAACAGAACCAAAAAAATACAAGTGTGCACATTTACACTGTCTTTTAGTTGGATTTTGCATACATCATTAATGTAATTCATTGCTAGTATATACATCTTTTCTGTTGTCCTGACAACCAATATTCAAATGTACAAACAAAATAGTTAGTAATTTATTGAAAAATGATTATTTTTTCCTACTTATTATTCCAATGATCAAAGCATGGCATATATTTTAAAGGGAGTGATGCCTTCGTGGAGGACTTTCTGAGGTAAACTGGCTCATATTAACACATAGCGAAAACCATTAAAACACTCATGCAGCCAGCCCGTTTGCCGGATTTGAACTTCGGACCGAACTACCACTGTTCAGAGACTTTACCTCTTGTCCACTGGAGGGCACTTGAAATTGTTATAGACAAATGATTGTTTTTCTTAAATAGATATTATAGAAGGAAATTTGAGAAGAGATCTGAGAAAAAGGCCCACCGCTAAACCTAAAGAGTTTGTAAAGATTGACGATGACTTTCCCATACTCCCAAGTAAAGTATCAGTAGCACCAAGAAGAAAAATAGCACTTCCTCGCAGTGAGAACGCTAGGGAATTTATTCAACCACACCCAGATGATCTTGGAGAAGCAGTCAGTTGGCTGAGAGATAGAAAAGTCGCACTTCCGCGAAGCCTGATTTGATCACATAGCAAAAAAAATAACATGCTGCAAAGTCTACTGCTGAAAAACTTACTGAGGGATTTAGAGCAGCGATGATGCTTGTGAGGTTTGCGAATGATGAAAATTAAGGATTAATTCAGTGCATCTTAGTACGCCTATTCCATTATTACGATCATGAACATGACTATCCATTATTGCAACTTTTATCACTGGTTCAAATGGATGTGAAATTTGTGTAATTTGAGTTTTTCACCTGTTCAACTTTATGCTCCAGTTATTTTTTTGGACATGATTCATAACAACTTAGCCATTCCACAAGGGGTAGGATTCTCGTTAACCCAGGACCCTGGTGTTACATCATTTCTCTTCGTGTTTGTGTTTTTTTAAAATGCATGTGGTAGTGTGGTATTTCAAATGACAATATTTCAAAAACAATTGCTTATCACAAAACAAACTACATTTAATTAGTCAAAGAACTGCATGTGGTTTGCAAGCTACAATTAGGCCATGCATGATAGATAACATGCACTGATCCTGCCTCAATCACCTGTGCATCATTGACCAAATTTGCTTAATGAACGGTCCTAGACTAATAATTCCAGTTATGAAATGAATCAAATAAGATACACTTTAAGATCATGGCATTTAAGATACAACACCTTTAAACAAAATATTAAATATAGTTAAATTAATATTCATTTTTATATGATAAAATTTTCTGGAGATAACATTAACTAAAATTTCCAAGAACTGTATACAAATATGTTACACAGTTTGAATTGCTTTGGCAGCATAAACTAACATCAAAGTCCTAACAGACTTAGAGTGAATTATTGCCATGTTTGCAGTTAACAACAGAGACTGATTTAATAAAAAGGTTAAAATAACTTTTTATTAAATCAGAACTTGAACATAAAATGCATGTACCACTTGTAGCAATGTAAATTAAAGTAACAGTCAAGCTCAAGAGTTCAACTAAGCCTAGCAGTTAAAGAATAGATAATTAATCTCAAATTCTAAGTTGGTTCAGAACTTCTCACTGGCGTAACAGTTAAATGTTGGGAGCCTAAAGCCAAAAAATGGCAGTCTTACCACAGCTGGCAAAATATAGAAACCTAGAAAGATGTTAAATCCTAGTAATATGTGCTCTTAAAACTTAAAGAACTTTTAAAGCAATTTAAATTTTGAAAAATTATTTATTTAATGCTTCTGATGTTGATATTTTATGTACTGAATGTTTTCATGACAAATACCAATTATAAGTAAATTTATGAAAAGTTATAAAAACATAAATGATAAATAACAAAGAGCTGCATTTCCCCCCCATGAAGTTTCTGCATCATTGCTTGCATTATTTTCTTAAAATTATTTTTCATGAACACATTTTCTTTCAAAATAAAATAATTACAAAAAAAAAATCAATAATATTGATTAAATGACTACTCCTAGCAGTCGTATTTAAAACGAAGACTTCTTCTTTACACCACTGTATTTTAATAACTATGTTACTAAAGATTAAAGAAAAAAGGAAGCTTAAATTATATGGATGTAACTTAGACTTTTAATATCTCTTCCATTCTTCCCCTTTTTTATGAAAGCTGCATATGCTAAACATTCATAAATATTCAATTTTAAATCCTTTACAATTACACAAAGCTTGAATGAAATCTGTAAGCTCAGAAATTAGTAAAATGTATAAAAAAATCATTCCAATGCATTTAAAAATTTGAACAACTGACAGACACTATAGTACAGATTACTAATTACGTAATTTAAATAACTTACATAAAAATGAAGAAATGAAAAAATTATATGCTTGAGATTAATTTATAAGATCAGAATTAACAAAACCAATAGTAAACACAAACTGTATCATTCCAAGTAAATAGTGTACAGAACTGTTAAGTATTGTCAACTTTACCGAATAGCAATTTATACCTTTGCTCTCATCTTCTGTAAGTAAGAATAGTGAAGTTCTTCTCATATATTCCAGTAAGTGTAGGAAACATAATGGGGGCACAAAAAAAAAGAACAAAAAAAGAACCAGAAATGCAACAAAAAGGCAAGAAGAGAGAAAACAAAAAAAAGAAAGCTTGTTGTATAGCTTCAGCAAATTTCTGGAGGTTCCATAAACATATTCCAGGCTGTTTTATGAAAGAATAACGCCCATTTGTATCTAGAACAAGATACATTTAAAGTACATTTGTTCATAAAAGAAAAAAGGGAGAAAATGACAACACATTGAAACATATAATTTTTTTGGATTACAAAAAAAAAAAAAAAAAAAAAAAAGAGGCATTTTTAAATTAATATTAAGTTCTAAATTATTTACATGATCATACAGATAATTAGGACATAAGAATTTCTCTTCTAGTTTCTTCTTGTCTACATTATACAATGATACCTAAAAATCAGAAAAAAAGCTTTTTTCTAACGACTAAAGAAAGAACATTTTAGCAATATTTTTTCATAGCAGTCATACTAAACAGATATCAAGTAAGAACAAATTAAAATGAAATTCTACTATTTGGGAACAGAAAACTGTAAAGCTCCTATAAGCATTTTAACATATTCAAAACTTTTCTTACAGAAAATAAAGTTTATAACTAGCTAAACAATTCAAACAGGTGTCGCAAACACTATAGCAGAAAAACTGCTGTATTCTGGACAACCTTTCACTCTCAGAACTGATAAAAAAGCAAGTAAACTTTATTAGGTTCCTTTGAATATCATCGCTGCACCATGATCTCATTAATACTTAGGTTTAACTGATACTGCCCAACAAACCATTAACAATAATGACACATATTTTTGACAACAACAGACTGATTGAACAGTTTTATTTATTTTTTAAGTTTTCAGCCAGTATGGTTTAACAATCAAATTTAAACTGCAAAACAGCATCACACAGATCATTATTCTTTGAAAATATCTCAGCCTCCACATATATTCAACTACAAAAGGCAAGTAACTTAAATCAGTTCCTATTTTTTATCCTAAAACTTATTTATTTACTATAACTACACTAGTTACTTATTATAACTATACTAGTTTTTCATTCTAACACTTTACTACATTTACAATTTCAATGCATAAGAATACAAACACTCAAATTTTTGTTGGTAAAATATGCCTGAAAATAACGATTGCTTTCTGCTTCATTTATCATTTTATGATGCAAACAGCAGGAAAAATTAACATGAGATGAACAAATATATTTCTCAGAACTTTCTGTGGAAATGGATTACCTTAAAAGAAAGAAAAAAAAAAAAGAGCAATGCAGATACACACTTCCTATTTAGTCTGAAATTGGCACTACAATAAGAAACCACCATCTCTACCATCCCTTAACCACATCCCTAAAGAAAAAGGAAAGAAAAAAATTAATATTTCTAGAACCTCTACTGTTGCTCCAGCACTCATAGGAAAGTAGTCTTTAACGGTATCAGCGATTTATCATTGGGTGCCAGTTAATATGTATTGGGAAATTTTGCATATCTACATTCCTCCCTTTACAGCTGCGCTGAGTAGAAAAGATTGACTACATAATTCAGCAGCAGAATCCTCCCAACAGAGTGTGTGTGTGTGTGTGTGTATATGGTGTTGACTGTGTGTCCTCCATTGTTCTGTTGAAGACTGCATGTCCTGATGGTGGTGAAGAATGTGTGTCCTTATCAACGTACCAAGAGCTGTGAATCATTCCAGGATGGTGTGGCGATTTTAAGGCATGGAACCTGTAGTGGAATATTGTTATGGAAGACTAGACTGTAAATAGGAATTTAGTACAGTATTCCAGATAATTTACTACCCTACTAAGTAAATGGACTAAATGAACTGTTAAGCAGACTCAACTGATGTTGCACCAGTCATGTACATTCATCTGTTATTCATCATATGGTTATACTAACGTGTCATAGTCTGACATAACATGTTCATCTATTAAGCACAAGGAATCATGCAAGCACCCATTAAATCTTATGTTTTCAACTTAGTGTAATTGTACTCCTTTGACAGGTTACCACGGTTTTGCACATACTACTGCATAAAAGGGAGAAAATGAACACATTGAACTCGGAAGAAAAAACAATAACTAATAAATAAATAAATAAATAAAAATAAAAACAACAGGTTATGGTCCCAAATGTCCAGTCGCTCTTTACCAAGTTCCCAAGATGTTATGTGCGCACAGCTTCCAATGGAGAAACCCAAGTATAGCCGCAGTAAGTTGAACTTTCTAGGTTTTTTGGGAAAACAAGGTAAGCAAAAATTACTCTTTCTTTTTCCTTGGTTTCTCTGAAACTATATATATCTGACAAAAATGAAGAACCCGAATATTCAAATTAAAAAACTGCATAACATTAATTTTGAAATATGGCATTTTCAAGTGAAAATGGCTTTAATGCAGTCAGAACTTAGGGATGTCACGAGTGGGCAGTGTCAAGCCAGAAGCATCTGAAACAGCCATAAGTGCCCAAGTCAAAATTAACAAGCGGGTTTCAAAAGATCAAAAAGTTTTAGCAATTATTTCTCTGAGTGTGAAAGCATCTGAGATAGTACATATCAAAAAATGTCAAACTTTGTATGATGCATGGAGAAATTACACGAAATTCTAAAGACCCTGTTACTAAAGTTAGTTTCAGGAAGCAACTCATCTCAAAAAAGATGAACACGAATGAAAAAAAATGAAGGATAATTTAACTTCTTCAAAATTGGTAGGTTCTGATATTCTCAAAGAATTGCTAACAATTTTCTATTATGTAGCCTAACTGAAGAATGTGAAAGTTTTAGAATCGTGATAGAATCTCGTGATAAACTGCCAGACTTAAACATGCTAAAAGTTTCCAATTTAAAGCACAAGAAAACAGCCTATTACAGGATGTGTTAGTAACTCAATATCCTGGCAACACGAAAAGTCTAAAAAGGCGAAAACCTTAAAGTGTAAATACAAAATAAATACAAATACAAAAATAAATACAAAAATAAATGCATAGTTTTATATGCAGTGAGCACAAATGTTTAATGTTGTAAATCAACGGATGTATCGAGGGTTTAATGTTGGCAAGGGTAATATAAATAATTCAAACAGTAAACTGAAACTATGGCATGACAGGTGTGGTCATATAAATCTAGCCAAATTAAAAATAATGCAGTTCAAAAAGTTAGTACATGGTCTAAAATTTCCAAAATATAATAATCAAACTCTTATTTTGTGAAACTTGTAACAAATGCAAACAAACAAAGTTACCATTGCCAAATAAAATGCGTGCAGTAAACCGTGACATACTTGAACTTGTACGAACCAATATTTGTGGTCCTATGAATGTTGCATCTTTAGGCGGTGCAAAATACTTTCATAACTTCATCCGATGCAACTCGGCGAAAATTACTGTGTAACGCTAGGGAAAAGGTCTGCAAGCCCTGAAGCATTCAAAAAGTACAAATTTCAGCCTGATAAACAAATGGGGAAGCACTGTAAATACTTCACAGGGATAATGCAAAAGAATTTAAAAGTCAAGAATTTAATCAATTCTTACAACAGGAGGGCATTAAACTACAGTTTTCAGTTGAGTCCACAACAGAACGGAGTTGCAGAACGCGCCAATTGCACCCTAGTTGAAATGGCCACATGTCTGCTGTTCGAATCAAAATTACCTCAAGGATTGTGGGCAGAAATGCTGTCTACAGCCACTTATATACGTAACCGATGTGTGTAACTGTACCTTACTAAAGCATAAATGCTTTTCAGCAAAATTATTAAACAGCTTTTCTAAACAACACAATATAAATGATCCAAAATTTATGTTTAGTATCTATGATTCATACACTAAAACAAATGTTGTTTTACATACCTTTTTACTTTTTTTACATACATGTCTTAACTGTACCTTACTGAAGCATAAATATTTTTCAGCAAAATTTTTAAACAGCTTTTCTAAACAATACAATATAAATGATCCAAAACTTATGTTTAGTAACAAATATCTATGATACTAATCGATTTATACACTGAAACAATCTTTTTTTTTTTTTTTTTTTTTTTACCTACCTTAAGCATTTCAGAGTGATTAGAGTATCACTAGAAATCCAAAAGGTCCATAATCTAGAGTCAAACCAAGAATGCTCATGTTGTCAGTATTCAAAACTCTATAAATATTATGTAAAATAAGTACACTAATAAGTAATAAAAATTTTATATTCAAACTCACATATCAGCTACAAACATAAATTGCATAAGGTGGAGTTAAATTACATTTTAAAATGTAACATCTATTTAATAGTTTTAAAACATTAATATCTAGGAACAGCAATTAACATTAAGGAAGAAAACAGGTGAACATATAGTAGGGTTTAAATAATAAGTATTAAAATTAAATTAAACTTTTGTTACAGATGATAAGAACATGTAGGAATTGTGCATAAATATTTATGAAGGCACATTACTTTGCTTTTAAAAGGAATGATAAAAAATATTGCAGATAGTACCAAATTATGTGCAAAGTTAAAATTAAAGGAATTGCATCACCTAAATTTTCACAGCTTTAATTATTTAACACAATATATGATCTCCCCTAGCTGAAATACACATTTCATATTCTCTTTCCACATTAATAAATTAAGCTTCATTTAAGACAGTGAATCAAATCTCTCAAAAATGTTCAATGAGACTGAGATTATGAGATTAAGTAAATATGATGGCCAATCATTTCCATTTAAAGTCATTCAGACACCACAGCAGCACAGCTCGATGAGGTTAATTTTTGTTATCCATGTATAAAAGTCTGGGTCTACAGCACTTTTATAAAAAGCCTTACTTGGGGATAAAGAAATGCATCTGAGATATTTTTATAAAGCTATGCAATTTCTGTGACAGATACAAAGCTCAGTGCATTCATTTATTCTGATTCACCCCTAAAATAAGTAAACTGCCTCAACAGAAAGTGTTTCATAGATATATGATGGAAATTTATGAGTTAAACTACCAGATGACAGTCTACCCAGAATTACTACTTAAACTAAGCCTCGATTCATTTAAAATGTTGAAATTAAGTGCAATGCCCAACAATTTTACAACAGATTGAATGTATAAGAATTCACAATGTGTTTGTTATATAATAACATAATTAAATAACAGTATAGTTAAATAAGTTGAACAGTATAAAATGTTCTAGAAAAGGAGATTCAAAAGAAAGTACTTAAATTTAATCATGCATATTAGATTGTTACAAAAAAAAAAAAAAATCTGAATACAGTAGATTTTATTGCAAACTTTTGTATTATGGGCTGCAATGTAGATCTACCTATTAATGGTGCACCCTGTTAATGTAGAAATACGACTAGTAAGTGATCTACAAACTTGGCATTTTCTGCCTACAGAGTTCTTCTCTATAGGTTCTCCATATGGTACTCCGTTCTATCTACAGGAATCTAGGTGGTTTTTCTCAGGCCAAGAGGACCGAGCTTATGCAGTATTTGAATTGCTATGATATTTATATTTTTATAATTATGGAACAAATTTATCAATTGGGAAAATTAAATATTTCTCCTTCAAAGGTTATTCTTTATACATTTTATCAAAACCTAGGTTAGTTGTGAGTGAGATTCTTACAAGAGTCAAAGAAAATGCAATTTCTGACTTATATAGAACATGAACCCTTCAAGAGATAAAAACGAAGTTATAAATTTGGATATATCGAAACACAACATCCACTTTAAAATTTTTGCTGTACATTCAAAAGTCGTTAATTCGGACACCCATAATCCGGAATGATCTATAATCCGACCTCAAAGCTAAAAACTTGCTGCGCATGCGCCGTGTTGACACATTCGCATAGGCGTTAAGGCGTGCGCGTAAGACCTTTATGCGCGCGCGCATATTCGTGTGCGCAAGTGCAGAATACGTTTTTGCGTGGCGCGTTTCTTACAACGGACGTTATAAACTAAATTTACAATTATCTATTTCAGTTAATTTGATCTCATTATTCATTAATCTTCGAACTGGATGTAGCTAGTTTTTTTTTGTCAGACTGTAAGGAGCAATTTTATAAAAGTAAACTTGAACTTTCGATTATCATTTCCGTTTGAGCTTCCAAAGGATCTACAAACGAAAGTATGTCCTCGATGTCGCGTCAAACAAAAAGTGGAATTGCTGCAAAATGATAAGACTGAAGAGTTACAGAAGAGTTAGTGAAACGAAAAAAGTTCGATTGAACAGTTTAGTCGGTATTCTCGGCACAGCAATTATGGGACTTGAATCAGCGGAGCGTTTTACTGAACAAGAGTTTATGTCTGTTTATAAATTAAAGAGAAAGTTATCACATAAAACGAAAAACTACAATTGAAGAAATGTTTAATAAAGGAAACAATAAATTTAGCTTCTTTTTTTTGTAATTTTGATACCCTTTAGATCATAATTGTTCTTTAGTTCCAAATATGGTTTCATATTTTTAATTTTTAGAATTTTGTGGCATGCCATCTTACAGATTTAAACTGATTAATCTATAATCCGGAAAAAATCGATAATCCGGAATCGCCGAAGTCCCGACAAGTCCGGATTAACGACTTTTGACTGTATATAATCCTCCTAATAACAAACCCAATTTCTTCTATCACAATGCTTCAATGAAAACTATTTTTATTGGGAACTTCAATGCCGATGCACTTGCATGGGGACACCCAGACACTAATGATCCTGGGAAAGAAGTTGAGGACTTTTTAGACTCCTTTACATTTGAATTAATTTATAATTCTTGTGATCTGCATACTTTTGTACATTCTAATGGAAAGAAATTTAATCCAGATTTACGCTTGCTACATCAAACCTCTCCCATTATACCAGAAGAAAAGTATTGGATGAACCTGGTTCAGGACATTGACAAGTATTTGCTGCTATTACATTCCCATAAGTAAAAGCATGTATGTTTCAAAAACATCTTAGAATTAAAAAAAAGTTGACTGAAGGAATTTTGAGAAACTAACGGATGTCGTGTTTGATCCCAACAAAATTAATTTTGGTGCAAAAGTTGAAGCCTTTTCCAAATCTATTACAAGCAGGATAATTTTTTGTGCTAAGAAATGTATTCGAAGAGGGAAGATTAAAGCCTACAGGTTCTTCTGGTCTGATAAAACTTAAAATGATGAAAAATAGATGAAATAAGCCAAGTAGAAAAAACGGAACGTTCATATGGGAAAAGACCATATAATGTTCTCAAATTTGAATGACCTTCCTTGTGAATGGAATGTCTGTTACTTCAAGTAAAACAATAGTGAATGCATTTGTGACAAATCCAATTTCTGTAGAAAGCAGACAAAATTAGTTAATACAATTATTAAATCCTTTCATAATTGCTCTTCACAATCGAAAAATTCCCTTCCCTTACTTAGCACTCTAATACGATGATGAACTCTGTGGCATTAAATTATTTAAAATTGAATAAATCTCCAGGTGAAGATGCAATTCATGCTGAATTTCTTTTGAATTTAGCATTAAAGCAACTCATACTATACAAAGTTTTTCAATACTATGTGGGATGCTGTCTGTGTCTACTCAGCATGGTGTAAATTGATAACAATCCCGACCTCATCTCCCAAAAAGGAAAGGAGCACAGCGACATATGACCAATTTCACTCTCAAGTTTTTGATTTAAAACTAGAGAGAAGGTAATTCAATAAAGGCTAAATTGGTATTGGTAAAAAGGTATGTTGAGAATTTTCAATTTATAGCCAATGAAAAGGTTGGTTTCAGACAATACAGGTCAACAGCCAGCACACTACACAACTTAGCCAAACATCAAAGGATGCACCAGACAGAAAATAAATCCTTTCTGGAGTTTTCATTGAAATCTGCTTAAGACTTAGTTTATAGGCTACTTTACTCTTAAAGCTTTCCAACATTGGATTTCACTCAAACATGTTTCATTGGTTCAAGAGTTTTCTTAGCCAGTGCAAATCATTATGAAGATTGTTTTTCATGATATAAAGTTTCAAGGACTGGCCTCCCACAGGCAGCTATTACTCATAACTGGAAAAAGTGATGTTAAAAATTTCCTGTATGCTGACGGTTTGGTCTTCTGAACTGAAACTCCCAAATGTCATGCAAAGAAACAATCAGACTGGTGCTATACATAACATGGAAGTTAATTTAGAGAATACAGTGTATCAAACTTTTTCATTTACTCACCAGCCTTTAAAATTAGACCTTTTATATCAAGGGTTAACCAGTACAGGGAACCAAAAGCTTACAATATTTGGGTATTGTTTTCAACCAAAAACTGACTTGGAAAGAGCATGTCGAAATGATTTCAGAGTGTGCTACTAAGAGGCTAACCTTGATCAAGAGAGTTGTTGGATCTAATTGGGGTTGTTCTAGAACAACTCTTGATTTGACACACAGCTACTACTGACTACACAGCTACTGTTCTACTTCTTATTACTTACCTGTTACAAGCCCCTCATGGCAGTATCTAATCAAGTAATTCATTCATTCACTCAAAAGATTTCACATCCAGTTCTCTAACTTATCACTGATGCAATTAAAATCACTCCAGTTGATGCACTTTTACTAAATACATACTATATGTGCATTAAATCCACTGTGAAACAGAGGGCACTAATCCTATGGAAAAAAAAAATTAAGGGAACCAAACTGCTTTTCCCTGTGAAACTATTTGCCTTTTAGACAGAGAGAAAACTTAAAACTCAGAACGGTTTTCTTCAGGCAGTCTTTTCCATCAGAGATCACCTAGGTCTTAGATGGGAGCTGAACATTTTGTAAAACCCCGATGTCACTGATATAAGAAAATATGTAGTCAGAATTAATTTGTTACACAAAATCCTCAAGAAACAAATGACCAAACTTTAAAATCTCTGTCTTTGGAATCTGTTAATGCTTTATATTTTGAGAGTGAATGGCTACATGTATTTACATATGTCTCTGCGTTAGCTGACAATATTAACCTCTTAACTGCCGCGGGCATCTATATACCCTTGCTCCGGCCGAGCGGTAACTGCCCCAGGCGTATATATACGTCCGTCAACGGCTATCATTTGCTTTGCGCTGCACAATACACCTAAAATTATTCGCAAAGTTACGGCATCTTCTGCGCATCCGGGGCAGTTAACGCATCGACTGAGCAGGCGTATATTAACGTCCACCCGCCCGCGGCAGTTAAGGGGTTAATGCAGGCACTGGCATCTTTTGCACGCTTTTTTCATTTTATAATCATGTTGGAAGACAGGACTGCTTTTGATGTTGAGATAACAACATATGCATAGCCTTATCCCAACTCCAATGTCAACTTGAACATTCTTCAAAGGTTTGTCATACTCTCTGATTCTAAAGCTGCTCTTCTAGCCATATCTTCTTTTGAATCACCAATGTCTACTGATGTTTTAAAATGTCAGCAGTTCCTGAACAACTCAGCTCAGGAGGACAAAGAAGTTGCCATGCAATGGATACTATCATATTCTGACCTTCATGGAAATAATAATGAAGATTTGTTACAAAAGAAAGGGGATAATATTCTCCAGATAGCTGACAACCACATCCCTTTTTATATTGCAGAGAGTAATCAAAAATTACTACAGAGAAGATTTGTGGAAACACATTACTGAAAGGAACAGTCACACATTAACAGAATTTTTAACACTCCCTTATGGCTCAGAAAGGAATATGTTGCTATCTTTCATCATCTTACTTGTCATGGTTGCCTTTTAAAACATGTGCATTGAATGAACATTATCCCAAACTCAATTTGGGCAAACTTCATGAGGAAATAGAGCCTCACATATGAATCATTGCCTTGCACTTAATGCTGGATCACTCTGGGATAGATATTGGAGAGAGGAGTGAGATCACAAAAAAAAAAAAAAAAAAAAAAAAGATTTATAGATCATATTGTTTTTTTTTTTTTTTTTTTTAGTCCAAGGATTTGAATCCGAGGACATTAGTTTTGGTTGTTGGCATTTTTGCGTCACTCTAAATGTTTGGTGCACTTTTCAACTGTTGCCTACAAAATGTTAGAGTCCTGCAGTATTTTGAAAATTAAAATAATGAATAAAAAATGAAAAACTCATAAATGTATGTTATATTTCTCGTATTGTGATAAACAAACGCTACAGGAGTCATCGAAGTTAATAACGTAATCCCTCCAACGAATATGAGCATTGGGAAGACCAAATTTGAAATTTGAAATTTGTTTTAGGATCGATTTCTATTTTTTAAACTTTGACAATTTTTGATTACCAACTCAAGGATTTCAAAGCGAGCATGGCAAACGGTGTGCAGAAAAAACATTTTTATCTCCAGCGCGTGAGTCTCTGTATTGGAAATTCTAAAGATATGCTCGTTTTAAAACTATTTGCGATATACTGGTTGCACTGGATCGTTGTTTTAAGTTGCGAGGAACATGAATATTTAATAGAAAGAAAGGTAACACACAAAATTGGTTAAAAACGCCCCTTTGGACGTATGTAAATCTGAAACATTTCAGATTTTTTTTTTTTTTTTAAATTATTTTTTTTATTTGCTGTTCTCTTTCATTTTGCTTGTTCTGTGTACGTGTTTAATCTGCCATTAGAAAATGAATAAATAATACTAAATAACTTATTATAGATGATGGAAATATGCTGAATCAGCATATTTCCATCATCTATAATATCCAAAAGTTTCTTTATTAAAGAGGGGTGCTGACATATTATATTTTAACAGCAGCTTTTTATTTTAAAAGTTTGTATTTTAGAGCCCAAAAATTGCTTATAATAATGCTGAAATTCATAGCTTATAAAATTTAGTCAAGTATTTTGAAATTCTGTATTATCTACATCTTTATAATGCTAATATAAAATTTTATATTACCCATGGCAAAATCCAACACACTGCCATCCAGCTACTAATCTAGCAGTTCGAAGAACTACTTCTTTAAAAAAGGCTGCATACTTCTCCACTTTATCTCCAGAACTTTTATAAATCTAAAATAATGCTAAGTGTCAGAATTACAACAAATTATATACAACTGCAAACAAATACAGATGAATTTTGATTTGATAAATTGAATGGGCCTAAAATGTTTTATTTACTCAGTTCTAAAATGTGCAGTATTACTATCACTTACTTAAAAGTTATTTTCTAATATTGCAAAAAAGGGGTGGCCTATGATGGGAACTGTAGACAATTTTTTTGTATTTCAAAAAAGCTTAAAGGAGGGAAGGGGAAAAAAAAAGAAAGAAGAGGGGTGCTAACATATTATATTTGTTGCCTAATTCTCTCTTAGAGATAATCTGCATCTCACAAATCTGAATGACTAAATTATTAGATTTTCAAGAAAGAAAAAAAAAAAAAAAGGTATACTGAATCATAAGATTATCAATTTGCCATGTTTTATTACAGCATCTTTTAAGTTCAACTTCATATCTTTGTCTAACTAAGTCACATACATGAACAATAAACAATAATACTACAGCAATAATAAATAGTACAATAATATAAAGTGAATTTGATAAAGATTTTATAGAATTTTAAACAAATTTCATCAAACCTTTTAAGAAAATTACTTCTTAAACTATGCAGAAACACAATAAATTATAATTAATGCTATCATTGATGATTCAATTTGAATCTTTGTAGAGACATTGCATATTTTTGGAAGCAGGCAAGATGAAAAATTAGCAATACCTTCGCCGGGAATCAAACCGCGGACCTCTCATTACGCTCTGGAGCGTCAAATCCCACTCACCACGAAGCTCGCTAAGAAGACGGGACTAAATACCTTATAACGGAGAGGGTTGGGAATTGTAAATAAATTTCCTTGTAAATAAATAGTGGCCAAACTATTTATTTCCAAGGATAGACAAATTGATTCGATGTCACCATGTATTATACCGTCCTTCAATATAGTCGTCCAGCATGGTCACAACCCTTTTCCAACCGATGTGGAAGTCCGCAGCATACTTGAGCGCGTCTGTTTTGTTAAAGTTTGAATGGACCGTCTCTGCTGCAAGAATCTCAGGAACAGTTTGGAAGGCGAGTGCCACGCAGTGGTTCCTTCATCTTTAGGAATTAAAGTCACAGGGGCTTGATCTGGGAAGTTGGTGCTGTTAAAGCACTCCCGCCCATCGCTTGAACAAACAGTCACAGCTTGCGCTGCATGGGGCCGAGCATTGTTCATGCAAAATGAGAGAGCATTCTGCATAAAGTGTCGCTGTGTTTTTCTCCAGTTTCGGAGTCGTGCTCCAAAAGATCAGTAATAACTGTGCAGAACGGTCTGCCTGTGGGTAACGGTATGCGTTTAGGATACCCATCACAGTCGCTACACGAGAATCACCATAACTTTCACACATGCTGGAGTTCTGATGAAATTTTCGACTGTCGTAAGCTGACCCGGGATGACACCATTCATTTGATTGGTGTTTCAGTTCGGGCTGTACGATCCGCCCAAGTCTCATCCGTGATGATAGGGTAAAAAAGCATCTCCTTTCACCTCATAGTGCTCCAGTTGGGGCTCGGGCATCATCGTATCGTGCCATTTCTGCATTTTCCGTCATTGATGTGGAACCCATCATGAAACAATTTTTCTCATGACAGGAGGCCGTACTTCAGATGTGCAGCACAGTCTTATGTGCTAATCCTGTTTGTCCGGCCAGCTGATGAATCGTTTGGGCGGCATCACTGTCCATTAGTGCGGCAAAAGCCTTGCACGTCTGCCATCGCTGACACTTCGGTGACCCTGCCGCAGCCAGTCTGCCAGCTTTGGCGTTCCTTCATTGAATGTTTTTCACCCATCTTGCATGGTTTTCTGCAAGGCAATCAGATTCCCTGCAGCCTCTTGAAGCCCTGATGACACTGTCGTGCTTGTACGACCTCCTGGAACATTCAAATTTTTTTATCCAAAATTCGTTGTTCTTGTTTGGAAACTCCTGACAACACTTACTTAGACTGAAGCAATACATGGATCCTTCTTCGCGTCACTCTGCATTCGCGTGACGTAGGTCGGACGAGTCTTTGCTGAGAGGTAAGGTAGTATGTATTTTATGTGTGGTATACGCGATATTCTTTGGTTTTGTTGCGTAGCGTTATTTCAGCTGTGTTGCCACTATTAAAGTTACAACCCTCGTAGCTTTCAGAAAAGGTTATTTTGATTCACATAAAAATTTTGAGTCCAACTACTAACTAAATATGCTTGTTATGAACAGACACTTTTTAAAATGCTTAGTATTGTCTAAATTACAGTATACAAAAGCAAAACTGCATATAAAAATTGCAGAATCTTACCTCAGGGTAAAAGGTTTCAATAACATAATCAAGTAACTGATGCATGATTTCAGTTCTTCCCACACTTGGGCCAACTCTTCCAGTAAACTTATCTAGTGTTTTAAAGATCTCAAAGGAACCAAATCTGAAAGCAAATAAAAGTGTATTTTAAATTAATCCATGTTTACATAAAATAAAATATTACTATAAAATGCACAAAAACATATATTTAAGACATGGACTCTTTAAAACTCATTAAACTAAAAATTCTTAAAATCTTTCAGCCACATTTATGAGCACACAATAATGTGAACAGTTACATGATAAATTAATGTTTTACCAAGATTTATGTTAGAATCCTGATAACATGTACTGGTAATAAATTAAAATTTTATTATGCAAATCATCATAAAATATGCACAAATGAGATTTTTGTTATTATTATAATGATGAAATATACCAAGACAAACACATCTGGCTTACTTTGTATGTGACTGTCTTTTAGACTAATTACTTAGCCTATGATATATCTTAAGAATTCCGGGACTAAAAATAGTATATATGTAATTAATTATGAAATACACATTAAATTAAAAATCCAATTAAAATTGTTAGACTGAAATACAAAACAAACAAATTTATCGAGAATTAACACAAGATAAAGACTGAATTAACAAATTGACTAAATAAATAAAAATTACAAATAAGCTTTTCTATCAAATCATTTCAATAAAAATTCTCATACTTTCAAACATGATTCATAATATTTTAGGTACTTCTTGCAAGATTTAAGATTCTGTGAAAAATTAACACTTTGTACAAGTTATATTAGGTCTACCAGAAAGTTCTCTTCGTTTTAAGACAACAATTTTCGACAAGTAAGCACATATTTATTTGGCTCAGGTTTGGCTCTTTTTTTTATAGCTAAATATATACATACTAACGCAGCAAATTAACTAAAACCAAGTTTATTCACATTCAGTCTTAAGTGTGAAGTGATAGTGTATCCATGGCTACTGATAAACTTCATTTATGCCACTGTATTTTATACGAATTTCAACAAGTAAGAAATGCTAAAACAGCTTGTAGAAATTTGTTGAAACTGTTTGACAAAGAAACAGTTTCTGATGGAACATGCAGTAGATGGTTCGAAAAAGTTGAAACAAGTGATTTCGACCTTTCTGATATAAGCCACGTTCTGGGCGACCATCTTTGATCGACAATGTTGTTATGACATTGATGTTGTTACAGTTTTGGAGGTTTACAGGAGAGCAAGATCCTTTTCCGACAACATCAGAGATCACAATAAAAAAAGAACTAATTCAGCTCAGAAACCAGGTTGACCTATTATCGGAAGATAGGATTGGTGTGGAAATATTCAATAGGGGTGCCATCTGAAATTAAGTCGAAGAATTTTGGATGATCGAGTCGTCACATGCACATCTCTGTTTGCTTGAAACAAAATCAAGCCCTTGAACTGGATGAAAAGTGGATTACCTATGGAAGCATTGTAAGGAAAAGGGCGAACCCAGTAAACCTAGCCCTTCCACCTCTAAACCAAATTTGACTCTGAATAAGAGAATGTTGTGAATTTGGTGGGACATTCGAGGACCAATATATTATGAGCTTCTAAAACCAAACAAAAAGCTCAATTCATAGAAGTATTGTCAGCAACTGGACATTTAAAGAAAGCAGTCCAAGAAAAGACGCCAAAGATGTTCAATAGAAAGGACATCATACTGCATCGTGATAATGCCAGGCTACATGCTGCTTTGCGGGCTTGTCAGAAAAATTGCAGCACTAGGCTGGCAAATTCTGTCACATCGTCACATCCACCATATTCCCTGGACTTAGCACCCTTCGACTATCCCTTGTTTTTGATCTTACAAAATTTTTTGAAGGGCCAAGAATTAAATAATGAAGATCTCAACAAGCACTGGCTCAATTTTTTACATCAAAATTTACAACACTTTTCAAAAATTGGATATACAAATTGCGCTTACACTTGCAAGAAGTCATTAATAATAACAGCACTTCTATTATTTAATACAGTTTTATTGATGGTATGAAGAATATTTATTTTGTTTTATACCAAAAACGGAATAAACTTTCTGGTAGACTGACTATATTGGAAACAAGCAACAGAATTGGCAGACAGAAGCATGACTTTGCACTGTTGATAAAATTAAAACATGTTAAAAAAGAGACAACTGTGTAACTTGTCCAGAGATTGCAGGTATTTTTTTTTAATTGAACAGCAATGAAGTGCAAAAATGGTTTCTTCAAATACAGTTACAAAAGTAGAAAGGAAAATTATACACAATGGTAAAAAAGATTTTATAAATCAGTTTGAAATTTTAAAACCTCATACAATTTTGCTAAAATTAATATATATATGCTATTAGAATATAGTTACGATAATTACAGCTGACACTTGTTACAAGGGCATTAATTACAGTGATTGGTCTATTACAACTGGCGCAAAATGCCCCCAACTGATTAGAGTCCATTACATCCACTTTCATTATAGCAATCACTCACTATAAATAATTTTTTCTTTAAAATGTGAGGGGTCACTATAACGTGCATTGACTGTATTGATGAATATTTAAACTAAGCTAAACAGATAGAAGAAAAAAAAATGCACTACATCACTGATATAAGCTTGGTAATTTGAGTGTGTGTTATATAAAAAAATAAATTATACTGCTGGTCATTAAAATTGCAACACCATGAAGGAAAGCAAATACAAAAAAGATATTTATTGCATGTAAACAGTATGGCATGAAGACAAAATGTTTAAATTTGTAAGCATTTTGGAGGTTTAGAGGGGTGCGAAATTAGTAGAAACAGCTGCCATACCCGGCAGCTATAACGGCGCTTACCTTTTTAGGCATGGAGTCAGACTGGGCTTGGATGACAGAAATGGGCAACTCATTTCATGCTGCTCCAAATCTATGCCACACTTCAACAACTGTACTAGCTGGAGAGGGATGGAGGGCCATTCTCTCAGCAAACCATGACCAGATATCTGCAATGGGTGACAGATCTAGAGACCATGCAGGCCAGGGCAGCAATCAAATACCCATTGTATTGCAGAAGGTCAGAATAGGACGTGCAACATGTGGTCTTGTATTATCATGTTAGAACATGACGTTTAGGGGCCTCGAATATAGGGCACAAACCCCCCCCCCAAAACCCCCTGTACATAAGATGTCAGAAATATGCCAATCTGCATTCAAATTATGTCAATCCAAGCAAGAGATGTGTATATCATGTACCCAATGGCAGCCCAAATTATCACACCAGGTGCAAGGGCCCTATCAAACACAGGCAGGGTGGCTACTTACAATCTCCTGACACTCCATACCATATACATCTGTGGCTGCATTGTCAACATAACCGAGTAATGGTCATCGCTGAATAGTCCATGCTGCTGCAAATTTCACCGTACATACGAGCCTGATACTGGGCAATGCTGCAAAACTGCCATTTCCTGACATGGTCCATGTGTGGTTGTACAGTTTTGCGGGCTGACCCCACATATATCTGTCCCTCGATTCATATCACGAAGGCCCTGAGATCCTGCATGCCGTTCAGTATGACCCTCAGCAATCCATTGATTCCATGTTCATATTACAGTGGTTGGGTGTCAACCAGTGCGACCAGAGATATCAGGGAACGATAATCTAGACTTCTGATAGGCAATGACCCTGTCTCTATCAAATTTTGAAACTTGCTGATGAGCATGTCCTCTCCTTATTCGAGGTATAACATGATATTCTGAGCAAACTTCAACCTTGCAAAGCACTTTCCGAATAAGAAATCCACTAAACAACTTTTCTTTTATGCAGTGCTTCAGATGCCATTTCTCTCTCCTGCATCATTTAAATGAATTGAAATACTAAACAATTTCTTATCCCAAATTTTTCTTCCTTTCATGTGATTTTGACGTTCATCAGATCATTTCTTCCTGGTGTTGCAATTTTAATGGCCAACAGTGTAATTAAATGATACATTTAGATAAAACTACATAAATACATTGATTTTCAAAGTAAAATTGATAAATTCATGCAAAAAACTATCAATTTCTAAAATATCTTCACTCTGTGGAGAATGCAGTTTCTGAACAAACCTGTCCCTTTTCTGCATGACAATGTCTAATCTCACATTTCTGTTATCAGAGAATGAATTAGTAAAGTAATAATGTTATGTAATCAACACTGTTATATTAACTAAACTTTTTTGATTGTGAATCCCTAAGGCCAAAGTAATTATCTCTGAATATAATATAATACATATACGTGTGGCATGTGTAGTCAAAAATCAAATTATTTATTTATTTATTTTAAACAACATACATATATTAATTTAAATTAGAAATATACATTTTCAATTAAAATATAATATGAGCAATGTGATTATGTCTGTGTAGTAATCACAAAAAAAAAAAAAAAAAAAACAAAAAAAAAAAAAACTATTTTAATGCTTTCTGTTAATGTAATTCAGAGATCTAGTTACTACTCTAATTTCTGCATTTAGTTTTAATTGTTGGAAATGCTACATCATACAGATATATAGAATGTTACTGATGTTCAGCTCACTAGATGCTAGTAAAACCAGACAAGTTACCAATGACAGAACCTCACACTCAGGTGATACATGATCATATCCTTGCAAGTTATTGTGAGCTGCTAAGATTGTTAGTCAGTAGTAGCTTAAATCAGTGTTCTTCAGACCTTACTAGGCTGGCAAGCAAGTTTTCACTCCAGTCTGAATAAATAAGACAAAGTCCTATGAAGATTAAAATAATGCTTTTATTAACTCTTTGACTTCACAGAAGATACCACTTGTGCTTGCAAAACAAAATTCTGCCACTTTTCGTACATAAAATAACATAGGTTTAAATTCAATAAATAAAGTGATTTGCTTAAGCTACCTAAAATATTTAATGACAGACTTTTAACGCCATCTAGGAAAATGGTTAAAGTTGAAATAAGCATGCACAGAGCTGATGACAGGATGTAAACTGCAGGGAAGGCTGTCAAAGCTCTAACGCTAAAACATCAAACCCTTAGCTCAAATACACATATCTAATTTGCACTCTGGTGAGAACTAGGGATAGAAGAAGTTATAGTAAAAGTTCAAATCATAATAACTGGTTAATTAACATTAACTTTATAAGCCTACTTCTTTGGTGTACTGCAAGTATCACTTCCCATATCCACTTTGGAGACCGCTGTAATAGATGAATTGCAATATGGCAAAAGTCAACCAAAGACTTGAATTCAAAAATGTCTACTATTAAGCATGAGGGTGGAAGTATAATGGTTTGGGGATGTTTTGCTGCTTCTGAGATGAGAAACGTCCTTTTTAAAGAAAATATATGGATGAATTTAAATATACAAATATTAAATGAAAACCAGACATGATGTTCAAGAAAACTTGGAATGCATAATATTTTCCAGTTCAATCAGGATAAAGATCCTAAACATACAGTCCTAAATGCTAGCTTGAGGTTATTACACAACTGTCTTCAAGTTATCAAAACTTCTCCATGTTCTAAAGATTTAAATTCTATTGAATATGTATGGAGTGAGTTGGTGAAAGAATAGAGAAACATGGTATTTCTTCAAAAGCTCTATGAAAAGCAATTCTTACACAGAAGAGTACAAAATAGAACAGTCTTATATAAAAAAATTCACTGCATCTATGCCCATGCGTAATTTTTGTTAAAGGCAATCCTAACAAAATATTGAATGTCATCATTTTTTGTGCTTTTATTAAATATACACTGTTTGTTCAAAGTGTCCAAATACTTATATGAGCTCTTTCTCAGAACTTTCTGAGATAAACTTTTTTTTATTAAAAATGCTTTGACTAACTTTTTCTTAAACAAGCAGGTTTTAAAAATGTTGAACAACAGCACATATTAAAAAAAAGATGTCACATTTGAGTCATTCAAACTAATATTTAAAGTTAAAAACAATCTAACCAGATTATATTAATAAGCTATGTGACCATCCCAGAGCTTTCCACTATTGTTATAGTGACTGTCAATGTTCTGAATGAGATGATAAACCATGCAGTGGCCATTCCTCCAGTGGGAGAGTTTATAACTCTCTGAGATTACTGGAAGAGGTAAACATGCACATACAGCAGAAGTGAGGTAATCCCGAAGATTTACAATAGAATTACGATCTTGGGAAACAGTAGACACAATGTATAAAAAACACCCTCACTCTCTAGGTATTGGTTAACAATGTTGGCTTAAAGGAGACAGAAATTATCTTCCATTAGGAAGCAGTCAGGATCAACTACGGCAGCATAGAATCTCACTATGAAGTGTAGAACTTAATCCAGATACTGCAAAGTCAATACAGAACCATCTTTAAAGAAGTGCAGCTGACTGCATCATCTCCAGCCTACACCATGATGCTGCCACTTCTGAATAAATGATGCCAGACTATGCTCTGGGCTTGAGATCATGATTCTTGCTCTCTCTAGATGCTTACACATTTACAATCTGGTTTTAAGACCTATAAGGACTCTTTCATGAAGAGAACACTGCACTTATTTATGACAATTGAATTAAGATCTGACAACACTAATTTAATCTTGTTTCTCTGAAATGAGTGGCTAGAGGAACACAAATACTTGATATTCGGGCATATACTATTACTTTCATTTGAGACCTTTGTTATATAGTACTGGTACATATTATCTTACTAAGCAACACTGCAACCAAGGATAATCAGTTATGAAGAAGTTGTTCATTGATTCGGCTAGGCTACCAGGGCAAAGACATCGAACATCAGAAGTGGCAATAAACCTTGATCGATGGTATGGGTCTCCAGACAACTTTTTGATTTGTTTGGAATTATTTCCACATTTGAGAAATTATGAAACAATCAATGCAAAGAAAAGAGTTACCTCTTTGACTGATTACCTTGCTTCAATGAGTCCAACACCATGTCAGCTCTCACTATATGTCATTACTCTTCTTTCAACCTCAGAAATGTGAATATCATAAAAAAAAAATTATCCTACGAAAGGATTAAATACTTTGTTACAGCATTCAAATAAAATTCTTCATAACCTTCAGAATGCTGGCTTCTTCATGACTAATTAGCACATTTTCAGACAGTCTCTTACGATTGGCTGTAACATACCCTAATTACATACTGCCATCTGCATCCAAAGTGATATTTAGACCCTCAAATTAAAGTAATCTTTTGAAAATTCATTATTTGCTTAGCATGCTTAACTTTTGGGTATATAGTATATACACACACACTTCAGTATAAAATCATTCCAGATTTCTTCTATATCCCTGATATCAAAACGGGAAATGAATTTTGTAATGGTAATAATTCTACTAATGACATATTCATATGTAAGGTAGGTAACGCTTTTTTAAGTTACCGGAATTGAATATTTTGCAGTTCCCCCTTTTCATTTGACTCTGGATATCTTTCTAAAATTTTGATTTAAAATACCTCATAGTTTGTTTAGTTAGGATCCCAAAAGTTTAATTGATATAAAAAGTGTAAAGATTTGAGTAGTTAAATCTCAAATCTTTTTCAAGATTCAGAGGATTAGAATATTTCATGTAGCATTTGATACAACTTCATCAAGCAGAACGTATGTGTGTGTGATTATGGAAAAGCCTTGAGGGCTATCTGCCTAAGGGAAGATATGCCTTCGTGTAGGACTTTAATGGGAACTGTCTTCTTATACACGTTACAACATGGGGAAAAACCACGAAACCGCCCATGCGGCAGCCCGGTTCGCGGGATTCGAACCGTCTGACCGAAGACTAACAGGTCAGACGACTTTTAACCGCTTGGGCCGCTGTTGGGCCTTCTCCCCCCCCCAAAAAAAAGAAACAAATGAGAGCATAACTTTAAAATTAAAACTCCTCTGAATATCCAGGGACCGACTTACTCCGGTCAGACATTTTGTTGTCGTGTAATATAATTAGCTTTATATTTAAGATATTGCGTTTTACTTTCATTAAAATATAAATGGATGCCGGTCTTTATGAATGGTAAAGTTTATGAGTAATAGAGACTAAAGGTAAATATAGATATTTAGCTAATAAACGCTCTTCAAATACAGGTCTTCATAACAGATGCCAAAATCCTAGCCACTCAAACGGTTAAAACAAAGAGAACACTTAATTTCTAAAATCAACTTAGTAAATTTATTTTAAATCTTAAAATTAAATGAATACCTAATGAATGATGGAGCAATCCTTAATACAATAGTACATTTCTCAGAGCTTTGGAAATTTCCATGCATAAAAATAATCTCTACAACTAAGATCATAAGTATGCATGCACCAAGCTCTTGTCGTTGGAATTACGAAGAATGTCATTGCCTAAAAAAATTAATGCATTATCATATTAACTTTAATATCATTTTCAGTTTAAAATATAATATAAATAAAACCTTAAAGAAAGAAAAGAAAGAACTTATTTCCTAACATATGCTGCATGAGTAATTTTTGTTTGCCTGTCACGTTTTAATAAAGTGGCATCAGAATATTTATTCTGCTACGTAAGTATTCTTACTTCCCACTTTTTTATCAAGAATGAATTTAATACAGTCAAGTTTGTTAATGTCAGACACCCATATCTGGAATGATCTATAATCCACGGGACCTCAAAGCCTACAAACTTTGCGTTTTGTTGATGCATGCGCGTAGACCTTTACGGCTGCGATATTCCTTTGTGCACAAAATCACGTTTACAAATGCGCGTTTAATGTAAATAACGGACGGTATAAGCAAGCTAAAATTATCTAGTTCAGTTAATGTTTGCAGATTGCGTTATTCCTTATTCTTGCTGAATTTGCTTCGCTATTTTTTTTGCAACTGTTTAGAAAGCATTTTGTAAAAGTAGCTTGAACTTTATTCGATTATGTCACATAGAATTTCTGAAATATATCTTACTAATATGTAAAGGTCTACAAACAAAGTATGTTTCGAATTCCATTAAACAAAAAGTGGAATTTGCTGCAAAAATGGACAAGGGTATATCCTTTTGTTTATAATTCTAACCTGAACGTTTTGTTTTCTAAACTTTCTTTATCTTTAACAAGCCGCGGCACGCAATGATTGAAGGTTGATCTGTCAGCACTATCCTTATCTTCAGGGCAGATGTTTTTAATTTATTTGGGGCTTAAATCATTCCCTACTGCAATGTAGTATGTCATCTCGATGTACTCCGTCTTTGATATTATTTAAATCAAATTCCCCATCATTATAATTCACTCTTCACCTTCCATAGCGAGACAGTACATAGGTTATTGAAACGAAAAAATTTCGATTGACAAATTGTCGGTATTCCTCCGACACGTACTTATAGCATTGAACAGCGGAACTTTTAACTGAACAAGAACTTATTCTGTTTATAGAATTCAAAGAAATTTATTATCACTAAAAAATGAGCAACTCACATTGAAGAAATGTGTAATAAAGTAACAAATAATATTAGACTTTTTTTTTTTTTTTTTGTAATTGTTGATATCCTTTAGGATCATAATAAAAAAAAAAATCAATGTTAGTAATTACTATCATATGTATTTTAACTGCCCAACAATACCAAAATACGGAATGCTATAGATACTTTAGACCACAGGCTAACTATCCATAACAAAATAATTATATGTGAAAATAATAATAATAATCCATTTCTTATACCCAAAAAAGTTGTATTTACACACAGATGAGAAATAATCTTGATTTCAAGCTAAAAACAATTCCAGAAATTTAAAATGAATACATATAATATTTATACACTTATTTTTAAACAATCTACTTGAATAAAAAAAAAATAACAATAGTTTCTCTTTAATGCATTGAGCAGAACTGATACATTAACCAAAAATTAAATAAAGTGCCAAATGAAAATGGAATTCTCAGGTTTTTAATTTTTTGCTAATGCAATATTTTTAATAAATAAATACTTAAAAATTTACTGTAATTCATATAATTATAGTCAGTTCCTAAAAGAAAACATCAAATCACTGAGCTCTTCCTTTCTCTATATAAAAAAAAGGACATTAATGTGAGAGAATGTTGTAAATCAAATTCACTAACTCATGGAAAGAAGCAAAAAAGAAATTAAAATACTTTCTGATTATCTGCACTTCCCATTGAAAACTTATTACAAAGTATTCATGACGCAAAAATAGTTATGTGGTAACACAGGTACAGCCATAGCACATGTCTACTTTGGCTGGTGAGCAGTGTCGAGTTGTGTAATTCTCCAATATTCTTTTTGGGAAAACATATCACTATGTACGTGGAAAGAACAACTGCACAAAAAATTATAGAGGAATTTCTCAAAAAAGGTATGTTTTTTATAACAAATATTTCGTAGACTTTTTTATTGAGGATCACACTTTTGTGAAATTTTTAGTATACAACTATCTTGGCTGGTTGTTGTTAGTTTCATGGCACAAAACTTTAAAAGTTATAATGCACAAGATGGAGGTGAGGGTTTTGAATTTAGATTATACAGTGGATGGACAAAAATATGGAAACACCTTGTGAAATGCATGTTTGGAAAAGAAGATTGATTTTAATTAAATATTTTAGGTGCGGCAGGCTTTTTGACTACTGACGCCACCTATACAACTTCGTACATTGCTAAACACTTCAGTTGTTGTCGATTACTGTTATTGAGGTTGTCATTATTGCATTATGTCAAGTTAACAGACTTCGAAACGTGGCAAATTGTTGGGGGGGGGGGGGGGAAAAGCACACGTAATGTAGGTGCTATCGTAATCAATGTAATCCGAGTGTTAGTGTTTTCAAGGTACTGTATCGAAGTTTATTCCTCATATTGTGGAAAATCGTGAAAAACATCATCTGCTAAATCACAGCCGGACGAAAGCGTGTCCTGATTATCATGACAGATGATCATTAAGGGTCAATTGTGACAAAAAAAGCAGACCACAGAATACTCTGAAAGTAATTTGTGTTAACCGACCCCTGTGGTGCCAAAACAATTAGAAGGGAGCTTCATAAACAGGGAATGCTTGGCCGTGCTGGCAATTTGAGAGCCACGCATACATTGATGCTAATGCCCCCCCCGTAACAGTAAAGGTGGTGGTTGAATCATAAAGCCTGGACTATACAGCAGGGCAGCGAGTAAAGGTCTTGACGATGATATGTTCTTTCACATTGGTTCCCCCTTCTGGCCCGAGTTTACGTCTGCAGAATACCATCTCAAGCCTATAATACTACTGCTTGTGCCAAGAGTGAAACATGGGTGGGGGTTCTTTATGGTTTGGGCAGCCATCGTTGTTCTCTGCTAAACCATGATTAACTGTTTCAGGGTACATGACTGCCACAAACTTGTGAACATTTTTGGCCCATCAAGTTCATCCCATGGTACACAAACTTTGTTCCCCGATGGTGATGGTGTCTTCCAAGATGACAAAACCCCTGTTCACACAGCTCACATTTTCCATGAACTGGTTTTCTGAGCACGAGGATAGTTTGTCCCATCTCCCCTGGCTCCCAGTCCCACCAACCCGAATATTATCGAACCTTTGTGGTCTACATTGGAACGGAAATGTGTTCTCGTTATCCACCACCAACATCGTTACCCCTGAACGTGCCACCGTTTTTGCAGGAGAATGTATAATATTCCCTTGCAAACATACAAGAAATGTAATTTATTAATTCCGAGAAGACTGCAAGCTGTTTTGGATGCAACGGGTTTTCCTACCACCATATTAGCAAAGACCATGTTTTTTTTAAAAGGTGTTTCCATATTTTTGTCCAACCCCTGTATATATTATATATATGTATTATATATATAGACAGGGTTTTCATAGATCTTGGACAAACTTGAGGGGTGGTGGAGGGTTACTAAAACATGCAATTTTTTGTATAGAACTGTAGGTTCTAAAGTTGACGGGTTTAAAGAGGAAAGCAAAAAAACACCACGAGAAGAAAATGTGTTTATGTATATAACAACGGTCAAAGTGCTTTCTTTGCAGCATACAAGTAATTCACATAATGGTTCAAAAAGGGAACACTAACATAATACGAACTACATCTCTGAGTGGCTGGCATTGCCACTCAGAGCTGTAGTGGTATAGAGCGGTAGTGAGCTGAACCAACCACGATCCGATGCACCTCAGGATCAATCGCGACTCTGATGTCAAGCGTAATGGGTGAGTTTACGCACAGGAAAAAACGACATGCATCTCATGTATGGTGCTGCTAATGGGAATGGCAGAGCAGCACTACGGTTGTACCAGGAACAGTTTCCAAACAAGTGCAAGCCAAAGCACGCAATGTCCAAGAGGTTGCATCAGTCTTTGTGTGAAACGGGTTCGTTTTAAGGCACTCTGACACTAATAGGGTAAGAAGAAGTGCACTACACCTCGCATTGAAGAACCCTCTTGAACATTGTGCATGAATCACACCTCAGACAAGTACAAGATAATGCATGTCTCTCACTGAGTCCTTCCACCGTTTGGAGAGTATTGCATTAAAATGGTTTTTGAACCCACTACCACTTGCAGAGAGTCCCAAGCCTGCAACAGATAGATTTACCCCCTCTTCGAGTTCCATTCTGCATTGTTCGCAGCAGTGGTGCAGCGGCAGGCGGAATTTCCCTTGGATGTGCTATCACGACACGTCAACTTTCTCAACAGAGACGGCATGTTCATACCCAATATGCACGTGTGGGCAACTCTAATCCACACTGCACAACGTTCGCATTCAGTCCTACTACCAGCTTCTCCTGAATATTTGGCCGGGTATTGTTACCGCTACCCATAAGGACCATAACCTCTTAACCTGCACAATACAAATGGCTCATGTATATGTTCTTTTCTGCAGAAGTGTTACTGTAATTGCTGCATATGTCCGGCTGTCCGTTCGCGAACACATGGTGGTGTTCCAGCTGATAGTGCAAACCAGCCCTAACCCGTTCGGTCCTGCAATTACTTGGATGAAACATTTACGGACTATGGATTGGCCGTGGTGGACCTGTTCAATGGCCAGCCCTTTTGTCAGATTAATCAGCTTGGATTTTTTTTATGGGGCCATCTGAAGAGCATAATTACAGACTCTCCCTTTGACGATCCCCTGGAGACCTCGTTGCAAACTATCCACTGCGTTCTGCAAGCGGGTGTGAAATGCCTGTCTTTTTTCAAATGTTCGCTAATCCCTTCTGATGTTACCAAGTATATAGTCAAAAGTCCGTTATAATACCGACTCCGTGTGACTTTTCGTCCTTCCGGATTAGCTATTTTTCCGGATCTAGATCATCAGTTTAGATCTCTTTTGGCATGCAGAAATC